ATTTGTGGTTCCTCACCTCTTCTCTCCTGTTCTGACCAGAATTTAAACCCTCCGCGGTGATGGGGGATCTTTCAATTCCCAAAATGCACCTGCAGAAAATGAGGATTAAAGAGAGAGGAGGCTTCAGGAGGAGTTCACAAAAAGGATCCACAGGTGACTCCTCAGTGGATGCCTCAGTGAAAGACGTGACATGGCATTATACATGACATGATATATTGCATAATATGGGCATAAGGTGGAGGATCACACATCATTATTTCCCACAACACTCATCAAAATAGAAATAAAGCAGTTCTGACACCTAACTATAATGATGAACGTTACAATAACAACACAGGCTGATTTATTAAACATGGGCTGGTATAAAGCAGCAGGTTGTTTTGTTGATATGATTTATCAATAAAACAACCAAATAACACACACAGCTCTGTGATGCTTTGTTGTGGTCCCAGAGAGGGAGGTAAGCATAAATCTGAGTCAGAGTTAGACGAGGCAGTGACAATTTAAACAGTTGAAAAGAACCACATAAGCACGCCAGACATACGTCAATGAATAAATGATTAATGGGTTACATTTGTATACATGTTACATTCACTGATTCACACCACAATCATACTGATGGCATCGACTTCTATTAAAAACACCAATCAGTTTTGACTAATATCATTCACGCTGCACCACTGGGCCCTGACAGCAGGGGGCGGATTGGGGTTAAGCATCTTCTCGCCGAAGGGCACCTCTGCATGCGGACAGCAGGACCTGGGATGAAACCCCCAACCTTGTAATGAGAGATGACTCACTCTACCACTGAGCCACGGCCAATAACGAGTAATCAGTCCGTCACATCAAACACCATGGAAGAACATTTGATTGTACAGTCTTAGATTCAAGTCTTTCAATATGTAAATTAAACTAAGAAGTTTCATAACAGTTTTTTTAGTGGTCATATGCTGAACATTCACAGTGGTTGGTCTGACAGGTGAAACAGTACATGACCAGCAGGCCTACCTTATGTAACTTCAGACTGGTGCTGTGAAATAAAGGACTTTCATTAAGCAAACTAGGTTTGCATATGGGTTTAATAAAAGACCTCCAATATGTTTGCAATTATTACCCTCTGTGCTGAAAGTAGCAGACATAAGAAATCCCAGCTGTCATTTTACATTTTTCTGCATTCCCTGTTGATACAAAAGTAATGCAATAGTAAAAAAAATATATATCAGAGGGGAGTGTGTAAGGAGTGTTTGGAGAACCCTCTCTGAGTGTGTATTCATACATGGTGCATCAGGGCTCGACAGTGCGACCGTTTCACTCACATTTGTGACTAAAAATAGATGTGTGCGAATTGTAAAATGTATTTAGGGGCACATGTGCGCATAAAAAAACTTAGCCGAGGCAACAAATGCTTTTTCATGTAAATACGATAACAATCGTAATAACAACAGCGACAGCAGCACGGTTAAATCTACTGGAAATCCTTGCTGTCAACATCAGGTGTTGAGTAAGGGACCATCAATAAATTACCAGTTGATGTTCTCAAAAAAGTCTGTTTTCCTTCAATAGCTTCCATGTCATGTGACCAATTAACCCAAAATTGATTTCAAATAATAGTACTTGTGTCGACCAATACGACACACCTTTTTATTTCCCTAATTTGTCATCAAAAATTTTGGGTGTTAAACTTACAAGACAAATTTTGAACATTTTCTTCAATTGCTTCCAGGGTTTCCCCTACGTGCAATTGATCAGGCGCACCGCCACGGCTAAAATCAAGCTTATACACGGTCTACATAGCGAGTAGCATCAATAGCATTAGTATCATTATTATCAATGCGGCACTAATGATTTCTACTCGCACTGTGTGAGCACAACAACACACAACGTTATTTTCAACTTGTTTTGAGTCATCAATGAGCACGTCAAATCCTGTCGGACCCTCTTCCTCTAATGTGAAGGCTAACGTTTAATCTTATACACGGTTTGTATAGGTAACGTAACGTGAATGTAACAGCGTTTCTCCTGGAGCTGCAAGAGAGTGGGGATAACAACGAGTGTGTCAAGCCCTGTGCATGTTACCAATGTCAAATGGTAGATGATAAAAGCATTATGTTTATGACTAATCCAATCTGACCAATCAAAGTGCGTTTAAAATTACATGTCACACCACATACATACATACACAGAGTCAGCCAGTATTGACTTTTCCCATTCACACACCACTGGGCGCAGCCAGCGGGGGCAATCTAAGGTTTATTGCTTTGCCCAATGACACAACAGCACGGGGGACAGCTGGACCTTGGATCGAACCCCCTGAACTTCTGACCCTCTATTTGAGAAACGACAAACTATACCCCTAAGCCACAGCCGCCACATGAATCTTCATGGAGAAACTACAGTCAACAGCAGATGGACTACAAGAAGCATGGTGCATTCATTTTTTGTTATTTTATGCAGGAACATAAAAATGATAAATATGCCCACAGGTTTTTCTAGTTATATCAAGGAACGACATCAAGACAAAGAAGCCTTCAGTTGTGGTAATATATGAAACTCTTTGCATCTCGAAATGTGAATTTGATATCATGAATAAGTTTTAATCCCTTATTATACAGCACATCTTATATTATCTTATATAACTTGATCATGTAACTTCTTCTTTGTATTCTATTGCATTCGATACAAGCGCTGACTGTCAGCTTGCAAGAAAGCTAATGTGTGAAGCACTCTGAACTGCAACACTCTCCACGGTCATGGATGAATACTTAATTATTTTAATTATGACAGGCAAATGGTCACATTTCAGCCGTGGGCAATGTTAGTCATAACACTTCATTTCAGCAGTGGTTAAGCTTTAACCGCACTAAAATTCATCACACGAAAGTAACAACTGGATTACTTTTGATTGATTAATTGGAGATGGGAATTAAAAAAGAAGTACTCTGAATTACCAACAGTAAAGTGTTTGGCATATTACTCATCTCACCCTCTCCTCCTCTGATATTCATTCTTATGAATCACAAGTTTGATCAAATGTAAATAATAGTTTAATCAAGTGACTATGGCTTCAAATTGACTCTCATGCTGATAGTCTTTTGTCATGCTTGGCCGGGAGGCATGTCATTCTAGATACTGTTGACACAAAGAAGTGTGGATCATTTTCTCTTTCCTCTTTCAGTAAAGGATGGTCCAGAATTTCCAATGTTAAATGAGGTAATAAAGGAAGCAATGAAGCTGCTTTGAGAATAATTTGCAGAATTTCATCAGCACTTGTTTCACTCAGTTAGGAACTTTCCTAACCAAGAAATAGTATTTGAGTGGACCCTACAATTTAGAGTAAGAGAGATAAGGGTTGAAGAGGAGGAGGAGTTGAAGTTAATTAAAAGAGGCTCTAATCTACCACTACAATCATAATATTTAACATCATAATCATAATAATAATGGTTGAACATGTACTGACAGCACCTTTGTGCACCTTGAATACATAAAGCGCCAAGGTATCTAGATCCTCGTGATGCAGGTAGATAAAAATCCAAAGTGATAATAGGGGAGCATGGGGTAAATTAAGCCAGAGGGTAGGTTGATCCTCCCCCTGTTGCTTGGAAATGGTAAAAGAAATTGATCATGTGAGCAAATATTTAGGAGATGGGCATCAATTCATGGAGTCTGTGAAAGTTAAAAGCACATGGGTAAAGAAGTTTAGAAGATTTATTTACAACAACAAAAAATCACTCTTGAAAGTGAATTTAGTCTGTCATAAGTTTGATTAGAATTGTGTTCAGACCAAAAAAGATGATTTTAAATTTGTTTTATACATCAATTGTGGTATCTATGAGCTACAATATGAGGTCAAAAACCTAACCTAAAAGTCCAGCATTTTAGCTTAGAAGACTAATAAAGTCATAATTGTAGTTCTGAGGTAAGTTGAGCCAGTGGTTCAACTAAGAAAGTAAAGAGGATGAGAGGATCAGAGTTTCAGTTCAGATTGTTGAAATGTGTTACTTTTTCTTTTGAAAAATAGGCCTTGATGTAGTGATCCGAAATATGAAACATGGCTCATCTTACCCCACTCTCCCCTACAAGGCTTGAAATACAATAGTAGGCCTATATGAAGATTCAAAACTAGTATCTTATGATTTAAATTACACCCCCTCTTCAAACATTTTTCTAACAGGACTTAAAGTCTCAAACACGTTTTTTTTTTTCTTAATGAAGAGTTTCTGGGACATTACTATTGGTGGGTTTGGCAGTTGGTGGTAGCAAGCTACTGCTCCAGCTAAAACACATTAGCAGGAGGCTTACCTGGTGTCAATTCAGGCTGACATGAAACCACGACTTCCTCAAAACCGGTCTCTTCGGTCCCCAGGTCACCGCCTCCGTGTGTTCGTAGTTAAGACACGAGAAAACAAAGCCAGTGAGGTTCACGGAGCATAGTTAGCAGGTGGACAATTAGCGGTTAGCATCCCAACCGTCGCCGCCATACTTGAGTTTCCTCAGTTCAACAATATTAAAAAAGGACCGATTAACAGCCGATAGTCAAGTATTGACGGTCTAAAACTCTCAGAGTGATTAATATTTTCGACATTTTCATTAGCACTGCCTTCAAAACAAATGACGTTAGATATATTGAAGTTATCTCAGACAGGAAATGAGATTCTCAACGCTCGGAACTAGCAAACGAAACCAAAGGCCAACGTCATCGTTAATTGTGTCACTGTGACTGTATGCTGCGTTCGGGTTTCCTCGAAAGTCAGAATTTCGGAGCCGAAATGACGTCAAGCCCGAGTTCCGTTACCAAGTCGGGAAAACAGCAAAATCGGAAGCCTGAAACAAGATGGCTCCATCTACGATCGTTATTTCAGCGCTTCGGACAAGGCGAACGCTAAAGTAAGTTTCGTAGATGTAGCTATCTTGTTTCCGCCTCCGATTTTGCTTTTTTCCGATTGTAACGGAAACACTGGGAACTCGGGTGTGACGTCATTTTCGGCTCCGACATCTTACTTCCGAGATAACACGAATGCAGCAGATGAAAAAATACAATATTTATGTATGAGAGTTCTACATTATTAAAAATGGCACAGTTAAAGAATAGGTTATCTTTTTTTTTAATTTACCATCCATGAATATTCTCCAAGGTCCATGCCTTATTATTCCAATTTTTCTGACAGGTATTTACTGTTTTCTTTTTCCTTTGAGCAGCAATTGACAGTGGCCTTTTTCAATTGTGCAAAAGAAGACTATTCCAGAAAGAAAAAGAAATGACCTTTAAGGCGTAAATTTATTTAACAGCATGCAGCAGCTTTTAGATTGCTCTTTCAAAGTCTTACAGCCCACTTTCTTTTCTTTTTTTTACCTCATGCAACGTTGACAACGAGTGCAGTACGGCTTTAACTCCCTGCATCGTTGAGTTTTGTCGTGATTAAATCTCTGCCCGGTACCATCTGCGTGCAGGATTGGATTTCTGTGCACTCTCAGTGGGCACAGCCTCACTCTCGTTCAGAGGTGAGTCTCCTCCAGCACCTCCTCGTCGCCGTTCATGTGCGCCCTTTAACATCTCCGCGCTCTCCTCCTGCGGGGTCAGTCTCTGCGCGCATCACACTTGGAGCGCATCGGTGGGTCTGTGCAGAGCCAAGCGAGTGGGAATAGAGGTCCGACCTTTTTTTTTTTTTTCTGTCAGTTTCTCCTCGTTTGTCGTGGTGACTGCATCATGGGATTTTTACACGGAAAATTCGTGCTGCGCAGAGGGTTTCCACTTCACTGCCAGTGAGAAAAACTTGAGGAATATCAAGAGATGAAGAAGACGGCTAGAAGACAAATGGTCTCATCAGGTAAGAGTGGGTTTACTTAAGAATAATGGCATGGAATCCAGCTGTTTTGAAGATAATCACCAGAATACTGTGATTTCTCGGTTTGAAACGAGTTGGACGATTTTGCCAAATGACCGTGTGCGTCATTTTCAGCAGCATCGACTGTCATGTGTCTTTTTTTAACAAGTATAGCAGTTACTTAAAGTAAGATATTGCAAGATATTATTGTCCCAGTGTGCATTGAGATTTAATACCACTCACACCTGAGTCTGGGGAGAGATGATATTATGACTTCCTTTTATGACATTCCTGGATTGACTTTATAGTCATTTTACCTCCCATGGGGTGGGTTTAAATAATGAACTGCCAGCATGTGATGATTATTCATATATTCAGATAGTAACCCACACCTTTGAGCCAATAAAAACAGCAGCTAGAGTATTTTTTTCCTGATCTCCGCATGAAAATGTGAGAACTTCAAATGCCCACTTTGCCTGATGCTCTTTCAGCAGACTGCATGTTTCTGCACTTATTTGAGTTGCTTTCTTTCCAAAAAAAGAATACCTGTTGCTTGAAATACCTTATTTTAACATTTCATAAAGGAATATTTCATAACTGGTACAAAATTGAAGTCATTCCTGTAGATAAAAGTGGCTTCTGCAGAGCTGCTGGATGCTTGATGAGGGTTTTATGATGTTTCTGTCAGTGTAATTAATCTTCATATGCTTGCTTGTTTATGCAAAGCTGCTTCTCCCAACAGGTCGCCAACTGTTACATTATACAAGACTCTGTCCATCTTCCTGGCTCAGGGGACACATTAATTGATACAGAGGCTATATTTCTATCGATTTTGTCGCCTGTGCACAAAATAGAGGAACAAGACTCCGGGCAGCGTCCACCCTGCCCTGACTGCTACCATGGTGAAAATGATAATCAGGCACTATAAAACCTCTGATATTATTGGCACCAAACTAAGTTGTCACACCGTGTTTCCTCAGTGACAAGCACTTCAATCTGACTGTGGCAAAGCTATTGGCAGTACAGTGATTCCTCCTCACTCAATTACTTAGGCTGGGATTAATTTACACCCGTGCCCACCCCCTAATAAATTGAAAGAAAAAAGCGTCCGCAGAGAATGCAAAGCAGCTGATCATTTAGCAACATGTGAAGGGCAAGCGTTTCCCCCAGGGAGAGCTTATGACTGGAGGGTGAGCCGTGTGATTTCCCTCGGTAGCAAAGCCTGAACAAATAAACACATGAGGGAAAATCTGGCCTCCAGTAGGGAGCATCGCCTGAGGTGTTCTTATGTACACACGCTATCAATCAAGTCTGGCCTCAAGACAGAAAATTCGGATAGAAATCTATTAAATCCCCTCTGGTGTAACTTTGCCTCAGGGGTGATTAGAAGAAGGGCATTTTCGTTTTCTAAAAGCAGCTGAGTAGGAATTACCAACCCTCTTTTCTACTGAAATCTGAAGAGATAAGCTTTTATCATGGATTTAAGATGTCACAGAGATTGTGGTATTGTCTCATCACTCATGTGCTCAGTGAAGCCACTCGTCAAAATCAGATCAATTGCTTCAACAGACTTACACCCGTCAGCTAAAAGGTCCATGAAGAGGAAGGAGGAGAGGTTGCACTCGATAACTGATGAAGATGATGGCTGCACATCACACTTTTTCTCTTCTGGAAAGCATAAAATCAATATCAAAATCCATATCAAGTGATGTGCTTATTTCCACTCTGCTATCTCTGATGGCTACTTGGTTATGGCAAAAATCATAATTACTGTTATTTTGATTGAGATTGAGATTGAGATTATTAAAAACGATTAGTCACTGGTAAGAAAACAAATGCATCACATTCACTTACTGAACTTAAATGCTCTCAAGGTGCACAAGCAACCAAATATGGGAGAAATTAAGTATCTTGGACATCATTTTGAAGATAATATTTGCTAAATTGAAACAAGATTTTTACCTATTTTCACAAAGTTATCAAGAAGTAATGGCTGCAAATCTAACTTTTCATCCCACCTCCTAAAGCCTTCATCTTTGGCTGAGTCCAAAATGGATCCCTAACCCCTTTATAGTCGACTATATGGGGGTTTGCGCCATTTTTGAGGGGTGTCCGAAACCTGAGTGATCGATTCCAATGCCCCATATAGGCGACTCAGAATTTCCCATAGAGCACTGCAAAATGTAGTGACCATCCGATGGTCACTCACCAGTGGTGGGCATCCCGTCATGCATTGCGTCTCCAGAACCTTGAGCTCTATTTTCCATTTTCAGCGTAAGTTTTTTATCTTCACTTCACTCGCAAGTGATCCGTTTAGTTTTCAAAAAACAATTGTTTGCTGCGTCATATAGTCTTGTGCACAATATGACGCAGCAAACAGAATTATATAAGGCCTTTTAAATAAATTATTAATTAATTGTTTTTGTATTATTATTTTTTTATCTCACGAACATCCTGGAAAAACAAAGACATCTATACAACATCATAAAATTCAACAGATGTGAAAACAACAGCCGCAACTTTAGACGCAGCAGTTTGAGCAGTGACGTCACAACGGTGCACCGTGTAGTGTCCGAAACCTCCGATGATTGAGCTCACTACATAGTCAGCCCATATGGGGGTTAGGGGTTAGGGATTGAGTGATTCATTTCGGACACACCCTTTGTAATGTCAAGACCCATCAACAACCTCTGGTCTCGAGAAATGAAGCCAATGCAGAAGTGTGTAAAACTGCAGTTCCTTTAATGTCCACTTGAGGCTGACGCCCTCCCACACCCGTCCAAAAAAGCCCATCCTTGGAGCAAAGATTAACGTGCTCACAGCCTGATTCAATTATATGATTTCTGGCAGAATTGCTCATTTTTCAGTCTAGGGAGTGAAATTTTTTGTTATGCATGAGTTTGACTGACAGGTGGGTACACTGTAGCTCTTGACAAAAAAGTTAAACTTCACTTTTTTGCAACCCAAAGTTGGGTTGAGTCAGCATTTCCAATAAGGCTACTGCTGCTGATAGGCTCAAAACTCCAAATGGGTGACATCTATGTCTTGCAGTTGTAAACGGTTATATATGCGCTCAAACTCCCCCCTTGTGCTCTCTGCATCCCTCTGCTTTACTAACGCACACAGAGCTGTGTGCCCATTATAGTAAATAGCCAGTCTTCTCATCCTCACTCTCAATGAAAAGAGGAGGGAGGGTGCACCACAGAGGACAAAAGGAGTGCAACATGGCAGGCGACCCTGTAATCCTTTAATCTTGGTAATCTTATTTTCAAGATCATGGAAAGCCAAAAAAAAAGAAGTAATCATTAGAAACAAATTATGTCCCAGGTCAGCCATCAGGGATGATAAGAGTATTGAAGATAAAACGAAGTATTTTTGTACCTTTTAACATTTTTTGATGTGTCCTTGTGTGCAGGTGAGATGTCTTAACCCGTGAGAGGCAGAGAGACACAGTGAGGCATCATGGACTCCTGGATCTTTCCATCATCCCCTCCGAATCTGTCGGAGCACCTTATGTATGACAGCTTCATGCAAGGCAATGAGTCCGACTTCCACGGGAACTACACAGACCACACGTTCAACCAAACAAGCACGGTGGTCATCACCTGCTTGTACTTCCTCGTGTGCGCCGTGGGCCTCTGTGGAAACGCTCTGGTCATCTACGTCATCCTGCGGTACGCCAAGATGAAGACAGTCACCAATATCTACATCCTCAACCTGGCTGTGGCTGATGTGCTCTTCATGCTGGGGCTGCCCTTCATCGCCATCCAGTTGGCGCTGGTCCACTGGCCATTTGGCCCAGTGCTCTGCAGGGTGGTGATGACGGTCGACTCCCTGAACCAGTTCACATCCATCTTCTGCCTCATGGTAATGAGCATAGACCGCTATCTGGCTGTGGTGCATCCCATTAAGTCCACCAAATGGCGTAAGCCTCGGATGGCAAAGACGATTAACTTAGCAGTGTGGGGCGTTTCACTGATGGTCAACCTTCCCATCGTTATCTACAGCGGCATCATCACAAAGCACGATGGCTGCTTCTGCACCATCGTTTGGCCCGAGCCTCAGGAGGCCTACTACACCGCCTTTATGTTCTACACCTTCATCCTGGGCTTCTTCCTTCCTCTCATGGTCATCTGCCTCTGCTACCTGTTCATCATCATCAAGGTGAAGTCCTCAGGCATCCGTGTCGGCTCCTCCAAGAGGAAGCGCTCAGAGAGAAAGGTGACCCGCATGGTGTCCATCGTGGTGGCGGTGTTCGTCTTCTGCTGGCTGCCCTTCTACGTCTTTAATGTCACTTCAGTGACAGGAACCATCAGCACCACACCCATCCTGAGGAGCACCTTTGCTTTCGTGGTGGTTTTAGGGTACGCCAACAGCTGCGCCAACCCTATCCTCTACGCTTTCCTGTCGGAGAACTTCAAGAAGAGTTTCCAGAATGTTCTCTGTCTGAAGAAGGTGGGTGGGCTGGATGAGGTGGAGCGCAGCGATAGCCGGCAGGATAAGTCTCGGATGATAAATGACCCTACTGAGACTCAGAGCACTCTGTTGAATGGAGACCTGCAGACCAGCATCTGAGAGGACGATGAGAGGACTCACATGCAGATCTCTAGGGGGACATCCAGAGGGTTGGCGAGGGGTGGCATTAGCCCCTTTTGGAATCGCCTGGGTTCCACCTCAAAATCCTGGGCTGGGTATTTGCAGGACTGATGCAAAAATCAACAACCTAGTATCAAGTAGCTATTTTTGCACAATTTGAAGTTCATGTGTTTCCACTCTGTTGTGTTACCATTTGAATTCTATATGTATGCATGCAAATAACATATTTTCAAGACTTTAGCAGAAGTAGCCAAAGTGGATATGATTTGTAGACATAGAAAGGGTAAATAAATGGTATTCAGTCATCATGTGGGCAGACATATTGTACTTCATGCCACCCTTGTGTTGGTTGGGCCACCCCAGCCAAAGAGTTTGGACACGCCCCTGTCTGGCAGCCTGGGTATCAGCATCTCAAAGGCTGTCTTACAAAAGGAAAGGATGTGATTAAACTTTAAGAAAGGATTTCACAGAGGAACGTGTCCCTGACCCAGCGTAAAAGGAGACAAAATTGTCATTTCGTTGGATCCACGGCCGTAAACAAACCCATAAAACCAGAACCCGTAGCTCAAACTTTGGGCACTATGCTGTAAATATAGAGGAAATCTGTTTGACTGTTTGATCTCTGAGGGGTGAGGAAGAGTGGACACCAACACCAACAAGCAAATGGTCCCCTTGGCGACGTGAATTCTCCCCTGGAGAGCCAGGATTGTATAGTTTACAGCAGGAGGCATGTGCCGAGCTTCCTCAGACTTACATAATATATAAGCTAAGAATGTGATCACATGCTGTATCACAACATTTGACGACTCCTCTGTCAATTTTGTCCTCTTGTGTGACAGGTATTTTCCCAGAGGAGAAGTCTGACTGTAAATTAACTGGGAATCTATTTTGTACTCGTTGTCATTTCATTTGGGAACACTCATACTTGTAAATATTTAATGATTTTTCAAACACAGAATACATCAAGCCAGTGCTGTTAGGTCTTGTGCCATGTAGTACAACAGTCTGATTAAACGTGCGACCACTTCTACATGCGTACAAATGCATCAGATGTGAATTACAGAATTACAGTGTTAAATCAGCATCCTGAGTTCAATAACTCCACATGCATAATTTATATTACACATACAGTACTGGCTCGGAGAGTGAGCCAGGCCGGCTTTTAACCAAAGTGCTGCTACAATGTATAGAAACCTATATATTCTCATGTACAGAAATGTCCATATATGGAATGGTACTCCATCATGGTTTGGATTATTTATGTGCATCGTGTAATAATGTTAGTGTTATTATTTGCAGTTGTTACAGATGCGGCGCTTGTATAAATGCCAGACTGCACAGATCTAAATTATTCACTATGAATGGTGAGATGTGGCTGAGCTTCACGTTTTTTATGGCATCTGAGAGCATCTAAAAGAGCTCAGATAACATTTGGTGAATGATTTTTTTAGCACCGTTTCCCTCCCTCCTTTCTCACAGGTCCCAGACAACCTGCTGACTGACCTATTTGGGCAGAATTACAGGAAGAAGATAGGTCATATCCTGAAAGTACTATAAAAGATGGCTTTCAGCGTACAGCCTGTTGTTATTTCTTTGTTTTTATGATGTGGATTACTTGAGTCTTTCCACTTCCTCACTTTTGTTCTGCTTTTATAAAAGGCTGAGCTTTTCCCTCGCCGCCCTGCATTGTGAGTATTTTTTGAGCACTTTGTATGCCACCGCCGACCCGTTCTCCTCTCATGATCCGTGGCATGTAGGAGGCCACATCTCGAGTGTGTCTGCGGGTGTCTCAGTGACGTGAATTTGTGAAGGGCTAGAACACTTATCCTCAAGAGGCTTCAGTGTTCCTTTATCGTCACTATCCTGCTGCTCCCTGAGTCTGACCTGTGACTCCGTCTGCTGTTTGTGGTCTGATTACTATCTTTGTTAGACCTTTCTCTGTGTGTGTGCGGGCCCCCTTGTATACACCGCGGCCTGTGACAGATTCTGATTTATGTGCAGTTGCATACTGTATTGATTCCAATGTCCCAGCCAGACAGTTAGAGGGGGAATTTGTCAATACTGATATTTAAATATGTATGTATATATCGAACTCGACACATGCATAAGATTCCAGCACCTGTCTTGCCGATGCGCATCAGCTTCCTCCTATGTGTCAGACTTGATAAGCCGAGGTGCATCGTGAACCCCCAGCCATGACTAATCAAATTCCATCTCCAGTCCCTCTCCCTGCAGTATTGTGAAATTTGTAACGTGGTCTTATTACCGCTGAAAGACACGACACACCTTTTGTGTCTTATATTTCCATAGCAACACTGACTGAGGCTTTTGGTCCCATGGTTACATTCATTAGCATAATAATAATAACAGAGGGATGACTCCAGACACGGATAATGAATGCAGACATCGCTCCGATGACTGAAGGAAAAAACAACACAAAAAAGGGTGCATTAACGCCGCCATCCACCGAGCTGTGAAGGCATCTCAGTTATGTAAAACCTGGTTTAAGTGTATAGTTTGTGTTAAAATTGTGCGGTAATAAATGTAGAAGGAAATAACTTGCATAATGTATTAATATTCATGACTTCTTACACTATCATCCTGCTGTTGCGGAGCTGTGATGTACTAAACTTTCTACATCATTGCTTCTAATTTCAATTTTCAGCTTTCCTTTTTATTGCTTGCATTTTTTTAAAGACTACTCTGCAGATTTTCTCCTCGTCCCATTTGTGTTTAAGCTCAGTGTGTCTTTGACGATGAGCCTCGTGTCTCATGAGCTTTGCAAAACATCACCGCCGTTGTTAAAGGTTTTACTGTTTCTGTACAAAGTTTTGTCGTGTGTCCTCCAGTTTCCTCTCTGATTGTAAAGAAACATAAAGTTTGATGGAGAAAATACGGCTGTGTGTACCAGTAGTTGTGTTATAACTAATAAAATCATAAAAAATGACACTTGTTTTTGATGGTGCAAGACCCTGCTTGATGAGAAAAAAATAACTACATAAAAAGTACTTTTTTTTTTATAACTGAAAGTGTGATCAATTCTTCAAACAGGTATTAATCAACATAAATACTATTTCCTCGGTTTGGCACATGAAACTGATTTAGGAATTTACAAGGTGTTTCAACCCACATTCCGATAAAGTTTGGGCACTTTGTCGAAAGTTGAGAAGAAAAATATGATGGTTGGCAGATCAATAAAAAAAAGGATTTAAATGAAAAAGGTGGAAAGAAAACTCATTTCATTAATAAACAGAAAAATGTGTTAAAAAATGCTCATCTTGAATTTGTTGTCAACATCATCCGGGACAAGCATGTTTATCATTGTGTTGTGTTTTTTTTAAAGCTCCTGTAAGGAATTTTTTTATGCTTATGAAATAGACTGAAATTCATATTGATGAATTTTCATGAAATTGAAAAGAAAAGAAAACTGTACGTCACAAGAATTAAGATAAAAATGCCTAAAACTGGTGCAAAGGGGCAGATAAAACCATAATATTTTTACAATTTCCATGTAAATATTCACGATAAATGACATATTCTAAGATGTTTTTGTCCAAAGATGTTGTTCAAGCATGTACCGACCAAGATAAGTAAAGACTGCTTTGTCCACAAGGGGGTGCTAAAATTGACACACATCAGAAGTTCCTTACAGGAGCTTTAACAACATATTCAGGGACTAAAGTGACCAGTTCCTTGGGTCCTAAAGTAAAACCTTGTCCCGTTCTTGCCATTCTGTCACAGTCAGGGCAGCATGTGTTTTCACATAATCTTGCTGTAACATGTAAGGTCTTATCTGGATGGCAGCTTGTTGCCACAGTACCTGAATAGGATTACGGTGTATTGTTCAGCATTAATAATGTGTGAGCCACCTGCGCCATCATCACTCAAACCACCGCAGATGTGTCTTTAAAATTGTACTTGTCGCTCCCTCTCCTTCCTCTTTGAAACAGAAGATGGGGCGTCCACGATTTGCATAAAAAAATATGAAATTATGATTCCTGTGACCACAGGACCGTCCTCCACCTCCCACTTGGTCAATCTTAAAAGGACTCCAGCCCAGCAAAGCCACCAGCCCTGCTGGATCATGTTTATTTATGATATTCCTTTTTGCATATAGCAGTTTGAACCTGAGCGGTTTATTGGAGGTAATTTTGAGCCCATGCAGTGTTTCCCACTCCAGAGTCGAAGATTTTTGGTTTTGACTCTTGAGTGCAGACTATTCCAGATTCTCTGAATGTGTCAAACCTGAGGTGATGAAATCCCCAAGTAGAGGTTTTCTGAAACTGCTGAATTATCTCCTCCTCACTCAGTCTCTCATAAAATAGTGAATATTTTCCCATCATTATTTTTGTGTTTCTTTTTTATATACCTAGCCATGTTACCAATCCAAAATAACCAAGAGAAAGTGATGTTTAGTTAAGTGAATAAGTGTCCACAGACACGAAGTGATCTGATGTGGGTGACTTGAACGGTCCAGAGGGATTGACGCAAAAAGTGGGAAATGTCCCTCAAACTGTTTTCGATATTTTGGCGTTATAATGTCGCTGCTATCCTTGAAATAAAGATATGTTCCTTAAAAGACGATAAATTTATTTTTGATTTAACATTTGATACTATTTTCAATCTAAACTTTGAGTTTTATCTTTAAAATCTTGTTTTGATCAACATTTTTGTCTCCGCTGGAATCAGAATTGTGCCTTTTTTCTTATTTCCACATTTCTTTTTTTAAACTAACATCTATCATGAAGACGCTCCTATATTGAAACTGAAAACATACTTTTCTTTCTGGCATTTTAGCAGTACAATCTACAGTAGTATACATGCTGAAGTGACCCTCATTATATACACCATTTGTACTACTCCATTTGACCACAGGATGGCACCAAAATCAAACTTATAGCTTGGGCCTGAATACTGAAAATGCAATGAGCCTAAAGGATAGAGTGCATGTGTGCAACTGCGTTATTTCAGTCCCTGTTACTCTTCATAAAGACCCGAATTTTGACATTTAAGTGCAGTAAGAGTAATAAAAAGCAAACATAGTAAATAGAGTTCACTTATATTATCCTACTGCCGGTCTCTCAAACACCTTAACTCTGCATTTATACTTCATGCAGCATTAACAGTTTTACACACACATTTGGCACCGACTGCAGAGGCTGCTACCTTAAGTGCCCTGCTCACATCCACTCAGTAAAAGCGCTGCCTTCGGGAGCAACTCAGGGCAGTTAAAGATGATAATTAACGCCAGCTCATAAACTCCTCTCTCTAAATGAAGAGAGGTGTTACAGAAGATATATATAAAAAAAAGAAACACATCACAAACACATTCCAGTTTTGTTCTGAGTTTAATCACTGAAACGGATAATGAAGCTCTCCTCTTCCTTTTTCGTTTCAGCTGCGTCCCTGAATGTCCTTGGGTGGCCTTAACTGCTTCACGATACATCAAAACCAAAGTGCGAACATTTCAAAAGTCTTTGATTTTACTGGTCAGAAACCCGCCGTCGTCGTCCTCCAGCTGAGGGTATGCAGCAGACCAAAGGATATGCATGTTTGTTTTCAATTACAGAGCAGCTTAACAACCAGTGGGTTGTGTTTTTTTTTTTGTTTTTTTCATTAAATGTGGCATTACTTTGTGAAAGGTTAGAGCCCTCATTTTATACATGAGTCAATATTTTTTATTCTGTATTTTCTTATACATACACAATCAGTGATATTCAAACAAAACAGACCACAACACCCTGATGTGTATGTGCATTATCTAAAGTCTGACTTGACAGCATACCGATTGAATAGAGCACTGGGTTTACTGCACTGCAGAGGCGAGACACACCACGAACCACACCGGTCTGCACCAGCCACACACGGTTGCCATGGAGAAGATTAACACTGATGGATTCAGAGCCAGGCTGTGGTCGCACAGTGCCCATACACGTGCAATGTGTATATATTTCACATGATTCTCTTCACATCCCAGAACAAAAATCCTGATGGGCAACAGGCCTTGAGGCGTTATTGAGGGCAAAAATTTCACATTTCTTTTTAAATCATGAGAGCCCAGTTGCATGCAGTGATGTTGAACGGGCTTCTTCTTCTTCTTTTGTTTTTTTTTTTAACTCTTTTTTTTTGTTGTCGTTGCACACAGCATCCAAGGTGTTCAATGAGGAGAGAGACCTTAGCATTCTCACATATAATAGGACCTCATGTGGAGTTCACGTTTTTCGAGTCTTCTCTTCAGAATGCCGTACGAAACCCAAAGCTCACATTCAACATACGATTCATGAACAGCAAAGGTGAGCCAATTTAATCACCACCATCATTATACCAACAATTCCACAAGAATGAAAGTATAATACGTCCAAAAACATTTCCAGTACCAGGACAGCGAGGGACATATGACTGTACTGAAAATAACAAAAAAAAAAAAAAAAAAAGACACTGAAAAGAAACAGTATACAAAATTCAATGAGTCGCTAAAAAAAATAGATATTCCCTGCCCTCAACCAGACTTGAAAATAAAAACAATCAACACAGTAAATAATGGAACATGAGCACACTCAGGTCCAAATCTGCTTAGTTTCCATGGCAGCACTTCCCCAGCAACTGGCAAAGGCAGCGTCTCTAAGCTCTCCCATGTTTTCTTTGCTCTTAAAAAATAGATGTATACTAGATTCATACAGTATCTCATAACTAAAGTCACAAATGATAAGAATCATAATCATACCTTTAAAATGTTCTTGCAAAGTTCATATAATACGTTGATTCTATTCTTCTTTTTTTTTTGCATTCAGTCCCGTATGCATATGATGACGAACTGTCCTCCATGATGACTAAGTTAAATGCTTGGTCAGTTGAAACAAGAGCACCATGGGAGAGAAATGGAGGGTGTGTGTGTGTGTGTGTCTGTGTGTGTCTGTGTGTGTGTGTGTGTGTTGGGTGAGGGTAAAGGGGGTGAGTCAGAATACTGTAAGAAAAAATCCAGATGTGCCCAATCAACATGACAGCCGGTCAGGCTCAGACTCCGCCCCTGCAGCAGGAAGGGGAAGGGAGAGAAAGTGAGAGTGGGCGGGGTTAAGGGTGAGGCTCCTCCTCTTTCTCTTTGCTCGAGCCTGGGTCCGATGACAGACTCCTCCTCCTCCTCCTCCTCCGTCTTCTCTCCTCTTCATTCAGTTTTGTCAAGTAGATGCCAAGAAGTAGCTCAGTGCTTGATTTTTTTTTCTCTTGAAAGGTTGCATGATTTCACACGTCTTTTTTTTTTTCATCTATTTTAAGTTTCGTCCTCCGTAGCTGGAGGTGCAGACTGGTAGTCAAAGAGTTTCAGGTAGGTTTGTGTGTTTCTTTTGTGTCTCATCCTGTCCCCAGTCTCTGGACTCTCTTTTTAGAAGCAGTGGTTCTTCGTGGTCAGTGGTCACAAAGACTACTCATACTCGAGGAACTGTTTATGGTAGAATAAGAGATACCTGAGAGAGAGGAAAAGACAGAAACATGAGAGTTTATCTTTGTTAAATAACCCAAACTCCGTACAGTCTGGGAGGCTGGATTTGATGGTTTGCAAATCATTCAAGGCAAAGATCCAAATGTTATAGTGAAAATAAAAAAACTGAAAAAGAGGCAGTGCCTCTGCTTCAGACCTGGGCATTTGACGGCCTGAGTGTTGCTTTTATTTTGAAAATCTAGCTGTTATTTTATTTCCGTTTGGACGCACCTGCGTACATCCTAGATCTGCATTCGTGAAGAGACACAAGTTTAAACATCGGCGAAATATTTGTAGACGCCTTAGAGTTGCCAATTTCGCTTATTATAAACAACTTTAGGCTTGTTTCTCTCAGAAGTCGCTTGTAAAACTCGTGAGTCACGGGTTTGTTTTTAACTTGTAGTTGCTTATTTGGGCTTGCTTTTCTGCATGTGTGAACTCCCCTGATTTGAAGTTGAAGTTTGCTGCTTAAAACCTTTTTTGTTCACCATTAAAGGTGCTTTCCCAGAAGTCATGCACACTCATGCATCTTAAGTGGATTACCGCCATAGAAAATTTGCCATAACACTTTATTTGATGCCTATCTCTATAACGCATCATACATATATGTATAATGCATTATAATCATGTTATAGCACTGTATAACTATAGTTATAAACACTCATAAATGATCCTAATGCTTTATAGCAATAATCATAACATTATAAAGCATTTTATCATGACTTACGATGTCAGGTATTATGATGTGTTATGCTTATTGTTATAAAGCCTTATGATAATTAATGAGTGTTTATAATGATAGTTATACAAGTTTATAAGCGAATCAGAACACATCATACATTTATGTATAATGCATTATCTATGCGTGAATTGTCAGTGAGTTGTTAACAGTTATAACACATTATAATCCCTGACATTGTAAGTCATGATAAAATGCTTTATAATGTGTCATAATTATTGCTATAAAGCATTATAATCATATAAGAGTGTTTATAACTATAGTTGTAAAGTGCTACAATGTGATAATAACGCATTATACATATATTTATAATGCATTATGGAGGTAGGCGTCAAATAAAGTGTTACCAAAGTTGCCTGTTTCCAGATTATGTACAGTTTTAAACTGTATCAGTGGATGCTTGGACAAACTGTGATCACAGACGGTGTATTTTGGATGTCGTTTTGAGCCAATGCGGTGATTTCCACTACAGAGTCGGGGCTGTTTTCAATGCAGTTCTGAAGATCACAGCTGTGTACCACCACTACTACTACTACTATCCAGGTTCTCTGACTCTTTATGTAGATGAAGATGACGAGATAGCCTGTTTCTTTCAGTTTAATATTTGATATGTTATTATTTATATTCTATACTGCATCCACACTTTTTAAGGACTTGAAGTTGTCCTGTAAACGCCCCGTTTCCGGTCTTACCCTTCACTATCAAGTACATCCTTAATGCTGGCCTTGGTGATAATGGCATCATCACATTTGAACCACTGGTCTTTGTGCTGGCGGATGAAGCTGGTGTAGTGGCCACTCTCTAACGTGCCTTGGTGGTTGACCACTGCAAACAAGGAATACCTGAAAAAAGAAAAGGAACACAGAAGCTCATTTGTCTTTTTCTACTTCTTTTAACATCATTGTCACACCAGCGTAATAAAGCCGCATTATCCCCCGCATACACGAGCGGTTTGCTTTGTCTGTACTCAGTCAAGGCACACCTGGGAAACTGTGTTCGGCTCCACGACAGGCAACCTGTCAACGGTATTAAGACAGTAAATTCTTCGTAAATGTCCTGGAAAATGAAAGCGATTGTCGCTGCCATGGATGAAGGAAACTAAGCGGCTTTTAATAGGTTTCAAATTGATTTCATTTGGGGAAAGTCACAGCTGGATGCCTCGAATCATTAGCGTGTGTTTCTGGCATAGAGTTGACATTTCTACCGTGATGTCAGAGCTGCTGTGAGACGCCAAAGTTTTAATGAATTAGTTTGAGGTACTCACTTATTGTCGTTGTTTAATACGTCAACTGTCTGTTGATACTGCCCGTTCATTCTGCTCTCTTTACTGTGGGGGAGAAGGGAACAAACAACAAGACGTTAGCACTGATAATGCTGCATGCTAAACTTGCCACAATGACACATACATCCACTAGGTGGCAGAGTTATCCTATGAATCGGAGCTGCTATTTCCCCTGCCTGCTCCTGTAACCATCACTCTGTCCGTGAGCAGAGCTGAATGGATGCTCGAGTCAGGGGTGGGGCCTGCTGCTGCATGCTCCTCTGACACTAGTAAATATTTATGGGGTAGATTTAGTAATGCTGTTTTGGCCAGGATACAGATATGTTTGATTCGATTACAGCATGTATTAATAGCCCATCATAAAGCATGTGCACGTGCGAATATTAAAATGCAACAAACCAGTTCAACAAGCTTGCTGCGGGTTTTATTTTGCAAGCGCCTGCAGGACATGATTCACAGAGTATATATGTGGAAGGTGGGGGGGGGGGGGGGCTGCTTCGCTGGAGGCTTACCTGGATGCCATGAAGGGCGTCATGTCCAACTCTAGAGGGAAGGAAACATATGTAGTGATCTTCCTCCGCAGTTTAGCAGAGTGCTCAAACCGCTGGGGACGGCCAGAGAGGGAGGATGAGACAGGAGAGGGAGAGAGAGAGACAGGGGGAGGGGAGGGGAGGGAGGACACATGTTTAGAATAAAAAGGCATCATCATAATAACAACATATTAAATACATACACAGCATTGAAGAGTGAACACCCGTGTTTCCCACTCTGGCTGTGAGGCATTTGTAACAAGATAATAACAGTCTGGGATTGATCTCCTTGTAGCCTGTTTCTATGAATATCATAAATACATTATCGGCCTCTTATGCAGTTATAATAAATAAAACATTGGACAGTGGAAGAGACAGTACGAGTCGTTAAAATCGCAGGTGTCCTAGGACAGCGTGTGAAAAAAAGGGCTACAGGGTAGGAGGTAATGCACCAACAACCGAATCGAGTTATGAGCACACGTACGCAGAGGTTATGTAGCAGACAAGCTAAGTCGCTGCAAAAGCTGGAGTTCGCCTCCAGCAGATGTGAGGCGGCGCACACACACGCGCTCTCACACACAGGGCAAACAGGATTAAAAAAAAACATCTTTATAGGTCAATATTCAAGGATCAAAATTCAATAAAACAAAACAGGACGAAAAAAAAAAAGCGCCTACTTTTGATGATCACATCACTCAGTACTGTTTACACGACACTAGAGCATCTGCTGTTTTCAGAGTAATGAGTAAAATTAGATGTGCGAGTGATAAAAGCACCGTTTACCCTTAAATAATCAAACTGTCAGACAGTGACAGATAACATAACAAGGGATAATTGGCAGCGCGCTGTTGGTGGCTGACTCACTTTGAGATGGAAACATGCTACGATGGGGAGCTTCTTCATTGTCAGCTGTTTGGTGGACTCCTGGTAACTATGGCAACCGCCGCACTTGATTTTGGCACTGCTTCCTAGGTGCTCAGGCCGTGTAAACCTGAAGGGAGAAATAAGGTGACGGATAGAGGAGAAGAGAGGGTGTGTGTGAGAGCAGAGAAGTGATAGACGGCTGAAAAAAACAACAACACAAAAAAAGTCATAACACCAGGGCGTCATGGCTGACAGGTTCGCCTCTTGCGCCCCGAAACAGCTCGCCCTGGCCCCACATGTGAGGTAAATGCGCTCTGAATCCGCCTGCAGAGTTTTGGTGCAACCACCCAGCCCAGAGCCCTGCTGGTATTGCCAACGCCTCTATCACCACGGCAACAGCACCAACCAGTTCTGTACCTTTAAGAGACTTGCTGCAGCAACTAGGGGTGTGTGAGGAGCTGCAGTACAAAAAAAAAAAAAAAAAAAAAAAAGAAAGTCTGAAGGAAAGGAGGCGAGAGGGGGAGGATGAGACGAATGCGAGGGGTAGAGAGTGAGGGCACGGGGGAAAGGGAATTAGGTGGAGGAGTGGGGAGGGGGGATGAAATAAGATAAGGAGTGAAGGGAGAGAAAAAAAAATTGCAAGAGTGAAGCATCAGTAGAGGAGATATGAGAGGTCACACCTGCTCTGCCAACCTGGTGATGCTTGAAGATTAAAAAAAGGGATAACAGGGCTGCTGTGCCTGAGCAGACAACACATGTGACCCGGCAAACAAGTGGTGGGATGAATGAGATCTATTTGTCGACAAGTGGAGACAACTGGAGAGGTAGAGGAAGGGATGGAGAAAAACAAGCCTCATTCACAGCAGCAGCAGTGTCTCTTTTTCTATTTCGAATGTTGAGAAACGATTATTTTTTAATCGGAATGTTAGCGAAAACACGACAAAGAAGAAAAAGCTTCAAGTAGGAGACTAAAATAAACGACAAACAAACCTTTTAGGCAGGAAAAATACAAACAAGATAAGGCGTACCTGCGTAGGCAGTCTGTGAGCGTGGTGGACCCTGACAGGTGACTCTCCCCATTCACCGTGCTGCCATCTCCTCCTGGGCTGAGGGGCCAGAAAGGTGTTGATGAGCCCGGGAGATCCAGACTGATGTCCCAGAATGGATCTATCGTCGTTGAAACCCCACTGCAGGAGAAAAACAGGAAAGGGAGTCAACATACAGTCGTGTTAGTGTGTCACTTACAACAGGTAATGATGACAGGATGATGACATAGAGGGTAATATACACAGCCTGAGCAGATCCTGATCATGTTTTCCTAAGCCTGCTGCAGCATTATGAGTTTATATCGACACTGTTCTTCAAGGTCCATTTGCAATTCAATGAAGTGTTACATCAGGAAATGGGCTTTACATGAGGAATTCATATTATTACCTCCAGTTGACTGTGATGGACTGCAGTCTGAGAAATATATCGGCTTCAAGCAGTGCCGTGAACAGACTGTTTAAGGGTCGGTAAAATAAAAAGGGCACCAAATTGAGATAGGAACCCTCAGCAGCAGGTCGCCTAGGTCTGAGTTCGTAGAGGTTGGGTAGCCATGTTTTACCTAAAAGGGTCTGTCTTTATGCATCATTCACAGGAAGTGCCTCCAGAGGGGACTTTTTCATGCTATACTGACTTGAAACACATCCAGAGGGGACTCTTTTACGTTACATCTTATTGAAGGGCATCCAGAGGGACCTTTTTTTTTCCTTCCATCTAATTCATTACAGCGCATCGAGCTGACAATCTTCATGTATTATTGAGCAAAATGGCATCCACAGGAAATTTTCTTTATGCTCTTATTTTTTAAAAAATGAACCCAGAAGGGAATCTTTGACATTTTATCCACTGGGAGGGTATCCAGAGGGTACTTTTTTTTTTTTTTTTACATTTTCTCTTTCCAAAAGGTATCAACGAGGTACTTTCTTTAGTTTTTATCTACTGGAAAAGTGTCCTGGGGGGATTATCTTGATGCTTGATTCACTGGGAGGGTATCCTGAGGGGACTCATGGATGAAATCTTGTTGAAGCGCATCAGAGAGGGGCTGCCACTGCCTGTTTCCTATAAGCATTCCTCAAAGGAGACTTTCTATAATGCTTGATTCACCAGAGAGGCATCCAGACAGGACTTTTGTCATGCAATATTCACTTTGAATGCATCTACATTTGATGGGCAGTAGAGGGGGATCCAGAAGGAACCTTTTTATGCTTAAGAGCATCCAGATAGGACTCTTCTGTTTCTTATCTCATTGATGGGCATCAAGATGGGATTTTCTTTGGGGAACCAGTCCAGCTTTATTTTCTACATTTTATTCACTGGGAGGGTATCCAGATGGTGTTGTTTTTCAATTTCTCTTACCAAAAGGTTTCAGTGAGGTACTTTCTTTAGTTTCTATCCCCTGGAAAAGTATCCTGAGGCGACATTCTTGACGCTTGATTCACTGGGAGGGTATCCTGAGGGGACTCACAGATTCAATCTTATTGAAGAGCATCAGGAATCCAGGCAGAACTTTGCTTGTGCATCATTCACTTTACATCTATCTACATTCGATCTTAATGAAGGGCATCCAGGGGGAACTTTTTTATGCATCCAGATGGGACTCTTCTGTTTTTAATCTCATTAATGGGCATCAAGATGGGATTCTCTTTGCATTTATCCAGAGGAAGGGGAACCAGTCCACCTTTATTTTCTACATTTTATTCACTGGAAGGGCATCCAGGTGGGACTTTTTCCTCATTTATTCACTGGAAGGTCATCAAAAGAGCACTTTGTCATGTTTTATTCATTGTAAGGGCACCTCCAAGAGAACTTGATAATGTTTTATTCACTCCTGGGGCATCTAAGAGGGCACTGTCATGATGTTTTTAAGGCACAAAGGCATCAGGGGGGGCTGGAGGGGCACAATGTTACACAAGTAAACGCATTTGCTCCACTTCAGGAGTCCCCATTTTTACTGTAGCGTCACGTAATACTGCTAGGCTTGGCTTTCCTGAGCTTCGCGGTTCAGTGCAGCATGCTAGCGTTAATGTGACAGGACAGCTCGAAGGGGCAGAAAGGCAACCGCTCGGGCTGTGCCGCTGTCTAGACAAACCCCCCCGCTTACAGCAGCTCTGCAGGGACTAGGCCTTTAAATCAGACTGGTAGAGAGGATAACATCGGCGGTTCACCTGCTCTTGGAGGACAGGAGGTATCGCCACAGTTATGAGTAAACCGTTCCCGTTGCTTCTTTACATTTTCACACGTTAGATAGAGATCAAACTCACTGGCAAACTTGACAGGTAACATCTGATTGCAGGCCCCCGGTGAAGATTTGGTCAATGATGCAGTTACAGTGGTTTGGATTGTTGGCCTTCTTCCCGTTGTCATCTCCTGTGGACCCAGAAAGAGCAGAAGGTAAAAATACACACACAAACACAGATAGTAGTTACAACCTCTAAAGGACTCCGTCTAGCCCACATTCTCACTCTCCCCCTCCCCCCTGCAGCAGCGGATCCTCCCATCCACTTCACAACTCTCTGGATCCTCCACTTTGGCTAATCGAAGCCTGCCTTACTGCAGGCTGTGTGGGTGAGTCAGCCTGTCATTGCACTGCAGCAGCGCCTATTGGCATTCTTCACACTGCCTGCCTGCCTGCCGTCCCCTCGGCACACACCATTGTCAGTCTCCTTTCGTATGTTTCCAGTGAAGGCGGGCTGAGCGCTCTCTGGGCAGGTTGAAGGTACAACTGCATGTGGCTGATACAGTCCAGGGAACGGTGCTCTCATCCTCAGCTGACACTGCTTATTTTGGGTCCTGGTCTGGAGGGAAATACTCCTGACTAGGGGTGCACGGATCACCGATTTTGATACCTTTTTTTTTATATATATATAACTGACAACATTTACCTTTGATGCTCCAATCTTACACCAACAGACAGCTTCATTATTTCAATAGACAGCTGCAGCAGCGTAGTGCAGCCCTGATCAGCTGAACTCAGTATAGAGGAAACAACATGCTCACAACAAATTGTTTTGCCTTTCTGTGGTCCATTTCCTGCTAATTTTGATATAATCCAGTGACTGTTGAGCCTCTACTATATGTGAAAAAGCAACGTGATTTTACAGTTTCAGGTTTTTTGCAGGTTTACTCCTGTTTAATAAAGTAAACTATGTTTCTTTATGCTGTGCTGTTACCTTCAGACAGAATTAGCCGTTTAAAGTCCTGTCGGGGTCCACATGGATGAGGGATTGACCATCGGATTGTTCTGTGTTACTGATAAATCCAGAACCAGGAAGTATTTCTCATCTACACAAACTGATTAACAGTCGAGAGTTTGCATATGGTGTTTTATTTTGAAATACCCCATGACATACGCGGTTTTTCGTGCCTGATACCCTGTCTAGAACGATCTTCTTTGTGTAGATTGACACGCGAAAACAGACTCATCACGTATCTTAAGCAGTGATACGCGACGCTGACATTACGTGCTCAATACGGATCCTGTATTTCCTAGCCTTAAAATATCAACCCTCAACTGTTTCTTTTTTTTTTTTAAATAGGGAAATCAACGTTTTTTGCTAATGCAGCACTTTCTTCGCTTTAATTCTATGTACATTACCGAGATTGGACTAAAGAAGCCACAGCCTCAGGGAATGAATTCAGCGAGGAAGGGCAGAGGAAGACGGCTGGAGCTGCAGGGCTTCATGCTGCATCAGTGCAGCGCATAAAATAGAAACTGACTTTCTTCTTCTACTTTTTCGGACAATAATGTGTGTATTTGAATATAAAAATGTCCCTGTTCGCCTCACTGTTTTCTGATTCATCTTCTGGTTTGTCCTTTCTACTCTGACACCTTGTTTTGTCGTTGCAATGTGGACAACGCACAAACACACACTCAAAGTACACCAACTCACTGCATCTGAACTCGCACTATGACTAGAGTTTGTTGTCTGAGTGTTCAGCAGGAATGGAGGTTGTAAAGCTTACTGATGGTGTCTCCTTTGCAGTGCCTGTGTAGTACATCCAACGCTGCGATGAGGAACTCGTGGGCGTCTTGCTGCTCGTAACCTGCGAGGTGGCGTGCGTGAGTCCACACCAGGTGCAGCAGCCGGAAGGGAATGTGGGGCGAACGGTGGCCCGAGTAGAACTGGAAGTGAGAAAGAAAGACAAATGGAGGAGGAGGTGGTGGAGATAAATAAGAGAGGGCGGTTAGCCTATTTTTCCAGATGCTGCGAGTTACATCATTTTTGATCCCGTCTTTTCCTGTCTTGTTGCTACAGTGCACGTTGTCATCAATAATTCATAACTGAGGCATAACAAAGATTTTCTGTCAGTCAGGGAGAGTTCCTGGTGCTTTTAACTGCTTTTTCCTGCAGGTCTCTTCAGACCTGAATTCCACCACCTCTAATGACAGCGCACCCATAGAGAGGAAGGGTGCGAGGCGGGTTACGGAGAGGACAAAGCGGCTGCAGAATGGGAGCGATTCGGAGCAAGAAAACGTCAATCTGCGGAGCGGGATGCGGAGTCTTTGAGTTGCCGAGGGGATTTGAGTGACTGACAATCCAGGTCAGGGTCAGGAGATGTGGCTAAGAACGTGACGGAGCCGAGCAGAGTGCAAACGCTAACATGCAGTTTCGACCGCAGCTCATAAATGCCGAGGAGAGCTCTCATTTCTCAACGTGTACACGCCGCACACACACCTCGCTTTCCTCCTCGCAGCCCTGTCAGGGGTCTGATTGAGCTGTGAGGGGGGGAAACATGCCACGCTGACGTCTCCTGAATCTTACAAACTCGGCTCCTTTTAGGCAGTTTTGAAGGTGGTTGACAAACGAAAGGCACTACAAGGAGATGAGGAAACGAGGGGGGCGAGTGTGTGACTGATCAAAGCGGGCTGCACCTCTCTCCTCCACGTCTTAAAAGCTCTGCAGAGTCAGTAGACAGCTTCTGACAACAATGCAGAGGAGGGTTCGAAAGGATAACGGATGAAGGTGGGGGATAAAAGTAAGCAATGAAATTAGGAAGTTGGGGACGAGGCGTGGAGGGAATCACACAGTGGGTGTCGGGGAGTGACGCAAATAATACCTCTTGTATGACAGTCCCCTGAATTTTCAGCTGACTGCTCAATCAGTCTGCCTCCCTGCGAGACAGAGGTGAGCGATTACCTCCTTCGTGTGTTATGTAGCTGAAAGGTTCAGCAAACCGAGACGGGGCAGAGCTCTGTGTGTGTGTGTGTGTGTTGAGGGGAGGGATGGGGAGGTGGGGTGGGCAATGACTCAACTCATTATAGCACCACTTGCCATCTGTGGGCCCATATATACAGGGAAGTGAGAGGGTGTAAGAAAAAAAGCCAGGCGGTGTGGGAGCAATTGCGTAACATTCAGCGGCTGATGAGTTTGTTGGATGTCAAATTGCTCAACTTTCGTTCGCGAGGATGTGGATGTGTATAACCGGCTCTGCGACATAATTCCCAAGTTTAGTAAAGGTATAATTGCTGCGTTTTGCTCATTCATTTCAATGCGGCTCTGTATATTGCTTCCAAGCTGCATTTCATCCCTCCTCTCTGCCTCCCTCTTTGGACTCAAATAAATAGCGCAACAGTGACTCAGCCTTCTGCAGTGGGTTACACTGCGAGAGAACATTCTGTATTATAAGCTGTGTTATAATTCAAGCTCTCAAATTATGCCTCCTCACCAGTTTGTCTTTTTTTTTCTTTTTCGGAGTGGGGGGAGGGGGGGATGAAAAAGTCGATGTAATAAGTCGGAGCAGACAAACCGCGTTCATCATCATACCTCCTGAAAAAGCTGCGACATCTCACACACCAGACAGGAGTTTGATTGCATCTCGCACTTGTGTCTGTCGGAGAGAAAGAAGTCTCGCAGCAGCGGCGTGTGTGTTAGGGCCTGAACGATGCAGTTCATGAAACACGTGTTGCCCAGGTTTATTAACCCTCGTAAACCTGCGGAGAAAAGAGAGAGAGGAAGAGAGAACAAAGAGGCGAAGATGGTTAAACATGGCGTGATTCATACGTTACTGCCTGAGGAGGGAATCTGAACCATCCCTGAGGACACAGAGTGCTGATATCTTCATGAGTAATAAATCAGAGGACATGGCGAAAAAGGACAATGTGTGTAACAGGATAGATAGGATATCTAACTAGCCGGGGTGGGGCAAACTATCAATATGGCGACATGTCATCGTCCCGATTCTTGTGAAACAGTTAGTGATATGAAAATGCTGGGCTGACAACTTCTTTGACAAATATACAGCACTCTCATGGATTTCTTATGGACATTAATGCAGGTAATGTAAGCAGCTGTTTCTGGGTCAGAGAAGGAGATGACAGCAGGATAAAAGAAGAGGAGGACAGCGGGGAAACTGTAAAGTGGTGGAAGTTAGAGTCACTTTTTAAAAGGCGAAGCAGAAAGAAAATAAAAATCAATCACGCTCGTTATGCTGCGACGAAAGAAAATCACTTACGCCGGGTGGACTGATTGTGATAATCGTGAATAATCGTGAATTGTTGGTGATATCACCCCGAGCATGACAGCATGACGGGAGCCAAAGGGGTTAGTGCACAAGTTCTCAGTGTTTTAAAGTTAAAGCATTAAGTTTGATAAAGCAGTCTTTGTCTATTTTGTCCTCTACATTAGGTCTGGATGACAAACCACAATTTACCAATACAGAAATTTACGGCGATAACCAACGTCATTTTGCCCATATCTGTATAATCGGTGTCAAAAAAATCAATAAATAAAAGTTGGTTTTGGATGTGTGTAGGTAGGCTTTGGTCTCATTGTCAGAGGTGTGACTCCACCCCATCCAGTCGATAACAACTCAATGGAGATGGAGGACGGTTCAAAAGTTGTAGCGGCTGAAATAGACGAAGTTAATGTGGGAGGGGGTGAGCTGCTTGTGGAGTAGTTATCATCTATTTATCGTTATCGAGGTGAACTGATCGATATATTGTGATATTGATTTGAGGACGTATCGCCCAGCCCTACTCTACATGCTTTAGTCGTAACTGTCAATAAAAAAAATCTCATCCTACGGAATTTTAAGAGTCAGATTTAAAAATTATTGAGAATATTTTAAGTGGAAATTGTAAACAGCAGCAGCTGACTGTAATTTCAGGCGTTACAAATAACAATATTTCGACTGTTAACCTTGTCGCTGTTGGTCTTCTGTGCTTTCATATATCATGAATAACTGCTTAGACAAACAAAATACATTTTTTTATTATTAAAACCTGAAATATTGATCATATAGTGTGTATAAAACTGATCAAACCTGTGCCACAACGAGAGCTGCTGTCTGTCTCTGGTGCTTGTTTACATCCAAATCATGTTGATAAGGACCAAAGGCATAATCCTGCTAAATTGTTGGGCACTGTAGCTTTTATTCTTTTACCATCTGTATTTTATTCGACTTGTTTTATTGTAATCTATATATTTATGTACATTTATCCTATGTAGAGCACTTTGATTGACTGCTGCTTTATGAATAAACTTGACTAAATACTTGTAGGTTGATGCATGTATATCCCTGTGCTTTTATTTGACCTTTAGGTGTTTTAATAGAAATTCAACTGAGTAAATTAATCCCTGTTTGTTGCAGAGTCGCTGATATTCCATGATATTATCGTACGAGTGGGCCATGATGCATGTTTCTTATCTTTCTCCTGCAATGAAGACGCTTATTTTTAGGAGCTGAGAACTGCAAAATCAAAAAGACCATTATCGCTTTTTAATGACATTTCATAATCAATAAACTGCAAAATCCAGACAGTCAAACTTTAGTTATTCCAGCCCCACGGAGCCACATTTACAACCTGTGGTACAGTCAGAAAACATTACACCTGTGTGCTTATTGTACATGAAAGTCGCCCTCCTGCGTTTGCAGTGTGAGATAGTTCTTTGTGTGTCACTGGAAAATTAACAATGTGCTGTTTGGTGTGGTCTGCCAGCAAATCCGTGTGTATCCTGGAGCAGACCCCAAAGCTGTGAATGGATTCATTTAGAGGGAGAAAATAGAGCTACAGTCCTCCAGTGATGGCCAGTACAACAGGTGAGACACAGCCAGGTCTTGGGTCTAATCCAAGTAAGCAGGGTTTGGTTCTGGAAGAGAGCGCTCAGCGAGAGCTTTAACACTTCAGACCGATCCTGGTGTGCGCACACACACACACACACACATGCGAACACAGTCTACTAACCAATCAGGGCAACCAGCCAAGCTCTTTAAAGATACAAGGGGGTGAGGGAAGGCAGGGGACACTGGGCTGAGCGAAAAATAAAAGCAGCGTGTGGAAAAGCAGAGACACAAAAGAGGGAGCAGAGAGGAACCAAAGCAACAGATCAGAGAGGAAACAGAACAGAGAGAAAACAAGTTCTGGGGAGGCTCGATACAAATGCAGACACGCTGTGGTGTGCATGCAAGAGTGACCTCAAGAGCACATGTACAGACACACACAGTTGTCAGTGGCAGAAAAGCTGTGCAGGCTGAACATTTCCCCACCTATGGTACAGTTCGTAGTGATTTTCCTCCGCTTTGGATTGTGTCGTAATAATTCTAGCTCCCTCTTGGTCGGCTCCCACGTTGTGTATTTCTCCCCTATGCCTGCGGATGCAAACAAACACAAATGTGACAGCTCAAGAGATGCGAGTTGGCCTCGTTTCAAACGCTCGGCAAGTTCCCCCTGACAGGAAACAAAAGGCCATACCTTGCAATTTCCAGGCTTTCCTCTGTTCTTCTTTGGCAATCTGCTCCATGTCTTTGTCGTATATGTAGTCTTGACACACAAAACAATATATCCCTCCGTATAGTAAGTCTATCGCTGGGAGCAGGAAGGAGAGAGGGAAAAAAAAAAAGAGGGAGAGAGAGAGAGGGAGATTGAATCATAATTAGAAATAGATTTTTTCCACCACAGTAACACACATTGGGTTTTATTTTACTGTCCAACCCCGGCTGGCACAGTCAGCCTCAAGACAAGTGCTTCCCCCCGCCCTGCATTATCCACTCACTGCAATATGTTTCCGTCTCATTGCTCGCACTGAACAATTTCAGGAGATGCGAGGGGAGCGATGATGGAATAGGTGTATTTGTCTCCCACCCACCCCCCCCTACCTGGCTTTCTGCTAACACACCGTCCTCTTCCATTCTCAAACTCCACGGCAACAATACCTCGGCTCTGTTGCCGTGACAACCTATTTTTAGCTTAAACAGACATATTTCTGGTTTTGGCGCTACCCACACTGGGAAAGTAAGCTAGAACATCATGTAGTAAAGCTGACTGTGTGGATGTTATTGTCACAGATTGATGGTTTTTTTTTTTCTGATTTGTGGTTGCGTGCTCGCCGGGAAGGACGATCGCCTCTGGATGAAAGTCACACGAGTGAGGAGATAAATGAGGAGCGTAAAAAAAGGAGGAAAACACACAATCATTTGATGGTTTGCAGAATGATGAAGCCCTATTTTGATTTACAACAGCTCAAAGACAACTTATCAAAACTTGGAACTGAAGATTCATCCGTTTTCGCCCATTTTGCGTCTGATATCAAGTATGGAAATAAATTTGATCAATTTCCAGGTCTTAAAAAGCATGGAAAATGAAAAATAAAGTATGGAAAAATATTAAGGTTTCCAGACTATTTCTAAAGTAGAAAAGTAGGTATTTCCAAAAATAACTCTTAAAAAGTAGGGCATGGAAAAGTATGGAAACTCCAACTGTGTAGAAACCCTGGATATCAGAAAAATCATTAAGAAAAACTGGGAAAGTGGCGCCAAAAAAAACTGGAATAGTCATGAAAGCTGTGAGGAAAAACACCTGGAGGAACATTAGGTCAAGTCCAGGTTAGCAACAGGACTGAAAAGACCATCCTGAAGAGGCAGAGTCTTTCTGGAGAAAAGAAAGAGCAGTTCAAAATGTAAAAAACATCAGAGATTTATTGTCTAGAGTTGATGAAATCATGTTAAGCACAAGGCCGAAAACCATTATGGGATTACAGTAACCACTGAGCCCTGAGATATCATTAAAATCACACAGCTCTGTAGTGGATATCACCGCATGGGCTCAGACACGCTCCCAAAAAAAAAACAAAAGGGGGATTTATGGTCTAAAGTTGATGAATTTAAGGCCGAAAATCATAATTGGAGTATTGTAGTGGGCCTTGAGAGTTCATTAAAATCAGACAGCTCTGTAGTGGATATCACTACATGGGCCCAAAAACCGAAATCTGTGAGCACAGTGTGTTGCTTAAACGGTCCATGTCCACTCACTGTGGGCTGAATCAAAGTAGGAAACTCTCTTCTCGTCCGACAAACTGACATAAGCAGCGAGAATCCTTTGAACAATGACTGCGTTTTTAACTTGTAACTGTCCAAAAATGTTTGTTGCACTTTAACCGTGAATTTGTTGTCGGTTCCCTTATATCTATGGCATTTATTATGACGTGTGCTGCTGACCTCTTGGTCAGGTTGCCCTTGTAAATGAGATCATGGTCTCAGTAAGATTTTACCTGGTTAAATAAAAGGTTAATAAAGAATAAAATGGAATTTGGGAATGAAGAAAGGGGCCGTCTGCCATGTTTGGTGCACACAGTTCAAAGGTAGGTACCCGTGGTGATATGAGGGTATGATGCAACACAGAGGCAGGTGACGCAACAGATCGGTAAGTATGATCCTGCTCTGATTTTTTAGTTTTTTTTAAAAGGTGTATCCAAGTTAGATCAGAAGTGTCATTTTCCTAAAACAATTACAATTCCAGGTTCATTCCAGGTTTGGAGGTAGAGGTGGGAAAAAGACCAGAAGATGGCATGATGGGTGTGAGATACAAATGTGGACTCGGAGTCCTGAGTGGGATACTTTCTGTCTGGTAGGCAGGGGAGTTTGAATAATTTGATTAGAGGTAGAGAGGAACAGAGTGCCGGTGTCAGAGAGACTCCTGTGGAAAGCTCAAAGCTAATTAACACTGTAGCCATCCACTTGGGGTATGTGTGTGTGTGTGTGTGTGTATGTGTGCGTTTGTGTGTGTAACCAAACTGTTGAAATCCATTAAATCAGCTAAAGCCATTCACAAAAATACTAACCCCTCTCCTGCTTGTCTCATTTCTAAATTTAGACATCCCTGTAAGAGTAATATCAAAATCTTGCTCATTAGCGTCTTTGTCTTATTTAGCTTAATTAGCATGTAAGGTTAAGGCGAGGCTTTCTCATAGCTCTGGATTAGCGGTGTCTCCCCCTCCCCTGCCGCTGTATGAAGGGGCGGGTTCAAACTTAAACCCGTGACATTTGACTGGATAAGGCGCTCCCTCCAGAATGGTAATGTGCTGCGGGTAGAGCGAGGTTTAGCTCCCTGTCTGCTCTGAGGAGGAAGTTGCCCAAAGTAATGCTGTAATCCTTCACTGATAATGGCTGATGCTGCAGCGGGCCACCGGGGCGCATGTGAATGTGAGGGCTGACGTGATGAGACTGAGCCGTGGACAATATTTGACACGATCGCTCAATATATCCGGTTTGGAGAGTGTGTGCAGGGCTTACCTAGGTTGTGCCTCTTGTTTTTCGCGTGCTCGTGGATGTGTTTCTTCGTAAAACAGCCGAAAAAGACGCAGTAGAGACAAGAGTGGAGTCGGTTCAGGTGGGCGCCACACATGTGACAGATGCACGACTTGGCCTGCAGAGTAAAGAGGGGATAAGGGAATAGAGAGCAGGGAGGAAAAAAAAAAGGGAGAGAGAGAGAGAGAGAGGGGACAGTCAGTGTGGTGAGAAAAGCCTCCGCAGTGGGACACAGCCCTGAGCTATAATGTAGAGCGACGTAGGCTGCCGGAGTGGAACTCCCTGGCAGCTGAATTAGATTACTATCTTCCAGTCAGTCGCACAAACACTTCGGCGGACGCGGTGCTTGAAGAGACCTGATATGAGGACAGACTAAAGATTGCCGGGTCTGTTGACAAATCCAGCTCAGTTGAATAACAACATATTCCACACTGCATCTTTCACTCTCTAATACATGGAGGGCATGATGGGATTTAATGCTTGGAAGGCACACCAGAGATAGGAGGCAGAATCCAGTGAAAGCTCTCACTGGTATCAGCTGAGGTTTGTGTGTTTTGTTCGACTACAGCACTCAGAAGTAACTAAAGAGACTTTGCATCTTCATTAACCTGCAGAAAACAGAGCCAACATCGAAACAGCGTGGTAGAAATTCACTCCAGGAAGAAGGTACGTGAAGGAGCTGTATTTCAGAGAACAATGCAAACATACACCTTTGTCCGGGCTTGTTCATGGACCCTAGAGCTGTAACATGGAGGCTCTTTCTAAGGTGACACAATCCAAACATAGAGATGACTAACACGCCTCTTTACCAGCTCCTCCACTCGTGATCAAAAAAGGATTTAGACGTGACACTCAGCAAAGCCATTGTGTTTAAGAAGGTACAAGAGGAGCGGACTACTCCCAAATCCATTACACTTCAGGGTCTGTTCAAAATGTACAGAATTCAGAGCGCGTACTCAACGCCGCGAATTGGTTGATGTAAAAAAAAAAAAAAAAAAAGGGAAAATAGGAGCATCAAGGAAATGCAAAACCCTTTTAGCGTTCAGAACACTCAATGCTTTCACTCAAAGTACAGCAGAAGGTAGTCCGCTGCGAGCCCGCGTCTAAAAGGGGATTTGAAATTGAATGAGGGAAGAGAGGCGATCTAATCAAAGCCTTCCAGGGTGCAGACCCGCCACAAAGACTCACACACTCGTACAGAGACGACAGAAGGGAAAAGGTGAAGAGGCGCGCAGTGATTGGCCGAGAGGTTTTGCCAGTTTTTGGGGTATCTGGTACACCGTGTGAAACCAGCTTCCAAGGCAGACTCACGCACACCTCCGCACCGAGCTGAAGCTTTGAATGAACTCAACAACCCTGAACGGTATTGTTTGACTATTGCTATCTCTTGACAGGAGATACAATGGTAGAACCTGACACCGTCTGAGCGATATTAATGCTTATTGTTCCAGAGAAACGGAATAGCTGGGGCCGGTTGGTTTCACTTCCTTCTCTTTGGATGACACATAACACTTGACAGTTTGTGCAGTGGAATAAATAGAGGATAATAATGACTAATGTCCATTATGACTAACTTACAAAATAACCCACAGGATGACTCAAAACTGCGATATTCAAAAGAACGGCACGATTTACACATTTTAGGTTGATTTTATGATTATTTTGAAAACTCACGGCCCAACAAACACCAACACAGTTTTGCTGAACACTCAGATATAAAAACCAACAGGCTGTCTAATAAGGCAGATATAATTTCCACACATAATCTACTTCTTATTGTTCTGTATGAGCAGTATGTATATAGATGATGTCAACAATTACGCTAAATCCTCACAGAGCAAAAGGTTGCCTGCAGAGCTATAGAAACCACACCGAAATACTCCCTCATGATTCTGCGCTGAGTGGACACTAGGGGTGGGAATCACTAGTGGCCCCACGATACGATATTATCATGATACTTGGGCCACGATATGATATTATCATGATAAGTGGTCCCATGATGCTGTATTATCCCAATACTTGGGCGACAATATGAGATTATCCTGATACTTGGGCGCAATACGATATTATCACGATGAGTGGCCCCACAATACGATATTATCACGATGAGTGGCCCCACAATACGATATTATCACAATACTTGGGCCACGATATGATATTATCAAGATAAGTGGCCCCACGATACGATATTATCCCGATACAATATTATCACAATACCTGGGCCACGATACGATATTATCATGATACTTGGGTCATGATATGATATTATCATGATACTTGGGTCATGATATGATATTATCATGATACTTGGGTCATGATATGATATTATCATGATACCTGGGCCACAATATGATATTGACATTTTTAATATTTTGGAAAACAGCAAGTATTGCGATACAATATGTTGCAATTTATACATTTTTTTCAACTGAACCACACCACAAAACAGACAAACTAGTGACATGCATGTTTCTGTGTTCAGGGACTGACTGCACCACTTTGAAGACGAAGAAAAAGAAGAAGAAGAAGAGAGCAGTTGTTGTTGTTGTGCGCCAAAGAATTTGTATGGACATATTTTGACAGTGAAATCTTGACAAATGAAGGATCATCCTTGTCATGCATCACAGGAGCTTCTTGTCCTTGAAGGCCTCTGCTGCTTCACTCACAGAGGAGGTGTGCGGGGGGGGGCATTCAAGGTATAATCTGACTTCTATCTCTTTTACGTCCTGTCATTATAGCTAGGTTTTATCATGTTCATTTTTCTGACAAAGCTTTATTTTGACTAGTGATTTGATATTATAAGATGAATGATAGACAAATGCAGGCTCTGGCAGTGGTCTGAAGAAAAACATTAACGCAAGAGTTACTGAGCTTTCCTTAGCTCTGAGTGTCTGCCTCAAATCAATGCAAAATCTACAGACCTGATGGATCTCTGATGTTTTATTGGTAAATCAAATGTGAGTTTGGCTGGTGAAAAGGATGCAACATTAGTGATGTGGCTCTAATAGCCAGGCTGTTTCTGCGCATGCCTTTGGCTCCACCGGCTCAATACCTATCAAGGCAGAAATGAAGGAATGCGTCCATACAGTTCCCGAACATTAAAGCCTGTGAGCTTATTTATTCTCGCGTTTGGAGCAAATGTCTCCTGAAAAGTGGCGAATAAACTGTTTTTAATTACTTTACTTGTAATGGTTAAAAAATGAATCCACACCATCTGGAGGTTAAGAGGCTGAAATCTTGTGAAAAAGGCAGAAGAATCTCTGCAATGACTGAGAGCTCATATGTAGGAGTGGGCGTAAATAGTGGAAAATTCTGCATAAGCAAGTGGGAGCGAGATTGAAGTTACAGTGTAATGTAGAAAGGTTAACAGAGGATATAGTGAAAACCCAGTGTTCGTTTTCCCTGTGTCATGGCATGCTAGGAGGGACACCGGCGTTACATGCAACACCACGCATATGCTACAATGCACTGCAGCACAGATAGGCTGCAAAACTCACAGCCTGGTGCGTGTTTTGGCTGAGCATTAGTAGGCGTGAGCTAAATTGTGATGACATTGCAGTAGAGGGGATATTCAGGGTGGCGGACCCTAAGCTCTGTTTTTATTCATATTGGTGTGTGAGCCAGCCAGCTTTATGAGGGTGTGTGGGAGAAGGGGGTAGCACAGAATCTGCGGTGGGGGGATGCGTGAGAGGAAACGAATTGTTGAAGGTCACCCGAATCAAGATCAAGAGAATTACATTTCAAGCACAGAGCTTGTTGCATTTGCATGCCGAGAGGAGAGGAGAGGAGAGGAGGACACAGAGGAGATGAAAAGGGGATGAAGCTTGAGGAATTACTACGTTTGCAGAGTGTAAATCAAACCCGACATATCCGTACAAAAAAATAAGAAATACAGGCCACACTCAACGTACAAACAGGTATTCCAGTGCATCCTTTAGCGGTGGTTTTTCGAAGTCCCCACTCCTCCATTGCACCACTACTCCAAGTAAAAAACAAGCAACCCTGCCAGTGCCACGCCTTGCCCTCCTCTTCACCCTCCTCCCCTGCCTTAACACCCCTTTAGCAGGCAGAAAATCTATCTCCGAACCCCCCCCCCTCTCTCCCTTGTTGTCTTCCGTGTGCTCTCAGCCTCTCACCGCGTGGTTCACAGCCTGTCTATTCCACCGTGTCAGCACTCCTGCATCTCTCTCCACCCGGGGTCTTTTAATGTTCTATTAGATCAGCTATTGATCAAGCGCTGGCTCAGATGACTGGAACAAGTGTCGAACAGGTAGCGAGCTCAAGTTCATGCCTCTCCCATCTGGAATGCGATGTTTGAGGCGAGTTAGGGCTATGCGCAGCGTCCGGGGAAATGGCCTCCGCTGATGTACAGAGCTGTTGATTGATAGACTAACAGATGCTGAAAGGCATTAGCAGAATGAATAGATGTCCAATATATCTTTTACATGAAGTTAAGGTCCAATTACAAGCTTTGTTCACCTCCTGGATTTGCAAGTGTCCATCAGCAAACACTGATACCACGCTGTTGTTTCAGATCTAGCTCCTGACTCCTCCATCACCTCTTCATGCATTCTTTAAACCTGACCCTGTTATTCCTCCTTTAGCATTTAGGTCAATGCATTCGTATGTTCAACAGATCAAGTAATGCAATGAGCTGTAACTGAGTAGGAGAGAGGAAGACGAGGACGATTATGATGTGGACAAAGGTCTGGCTCTACTGAGCACGCTCCTGCTGCTGCAAAGAACAGACCGGGGAGGGGAGAGTCAATACAGAGCGGAGAGCGCGGCTATATGAGAGCAGTGACTCACCACGGCTCTCATAAGCCTGCGCATGCTTCTCTACACACACATGCTCATGCATAATGAGAATTAACAATGGCTGACATGCGTGCTGCACAATAAAAGACGCGAAGGAAGCGGCAGGGAAGGGGCAGGATCTCCGTACGCTTATTTAAAAACAAGGACAGGGAGCTTTCCGTTTTTTCATTCCTGCTACGAGCGAGCCGGAGGAGGCTGGGGAAGGAAACTAATGGTGATGCTCTAGAACCGTGCTGCCGACTGACCCCGTGGGGCTGCAGCCTGTCAGTGCCGCCTTGGCAGGATGATGTTGTAACCCAGCATCCCCCCACTCCATCCCCACTATCTCCACATGAGAATTCCCCCGGCCTGCGAAATGCGGTTTCAGTACGCAGCCCTGGAGACTCGCACATGCACACAATATGCACCTCGCTCTATTCTCTTTTCACTTCCATCGGCTCATTGTAACCTCACTTGACAATGACATGCTGTGTGGACTTTGCGTGAGAAGAATGTATTCCCACCTCATCCAAATGAATCTGAATCGCAGGAGGGATGAGGGAGTGTGTAGTTTGGCCTCATACTGTCACACAAACTGCTTTAAGGACATTACAGCTAGACCGCGAACCCCCAGCTGGTGGAGTCGAGCTATTTTCCATCTGCAGAAAAGAAATAAAACTGAATAAAATGTGGACAAAGTGGAACTAACGGAGGAGATACTCGCAGTGGAGTAGCTTTAATGTCATGATCAAAAATGAAGTTTTCTGCCTTTTGGGGGTTTGTGCGAGTTGATGTGATACAGCAGGGTGAGCAGCAGCACATGGGACGGATTAACAGAGGCGTGAATGTGTGAATCTGATTAAGATCACTGGATAAGGCACTTGTGGTTTCTTGATTTTCGGGAGATCAAAGGGTGTGGGGGCAAAAAGAGAGAGTAGTGGAAAGGTTTTCCCCCCATGTAAGTCCAGGAGGGTATGCTAATGCTATTTCATAATGGACTAACATTCTGGTTTGAAGAGTCATGTGTGTCTCTATACACGATGGTACAAGGCAACGCTACAAGCCCACTGAAAATGTTCAGGAAAACAGATTATATAACTTTTTTATTTAATTAATATTAGTAAAAATTAAACCTTTATTAAAATACTGTCCTATGGTTTTTTTGCATCTCATTTTGCCCAAGATTTTTTCAATGAGTGATAAACTGGGACTATTAAGCACCCCTATTCTTCACTGTTGTAATACATGCGAAATGTAGTTTGACATCTGCTTGCTGTATAATGCAAAGACTTATGCAAATATATTGCTATTACTATAAAAATGTGCCTTAACCGAAGTGTGAACTAGCCATGCATTGGGCACATCAGCGTCTTATACCATCAGGGATACCAACTGCCATTCGCTTTAGAGCAGTACATTATTTGACACGCAAATAGAAAGTTTCCCCACTTTGGAAACCCCAAATTTCCACCGTATCCGGAATGGCTACAAAAAGGTCGATCCCCTGATTATAGTTGATGGTAGCTGATCATAACCATTCAAGTTAATGTGTCAATTTCCGCCGGCTTCTTTCCGTTCCGCTGCAGATCGCCGGACTCTGCAGTTGATCGCAAGAGTTCTATTTTTTCCGGACGCCGGAGCATGCTGGATAAATTCTGCACAGATTTACCCGTGCTGGAAAGGAATCCGGGCACGACCCAAAATAAAACATCTGGCTTCTTTTCAAAATAAATTCTCAGTGTTTTAGATGGATCGCATTTCACACCACGCAAACAGGCGTGAACAATCAAGTGAATAGTTTATAGACAGTATTTTATCCATGGCATCATGAATGAGGAGATGCTGATTTTATAAGTCTAGAAGTAGATTTCCACCTCTGGAAGGTCACAATCTACTGCTTATATGGTTAGCCTATGTGGCTAAAGACAACTTGTAATCACGTGATTGTGTTCCGGATGCGGTGGAAATCCCAGGTAAGGATTTTCAGATGTGATGCAGTCACTCCCAGGGCAGAGTCCTGCCAATTCTAATTCAGTGCCTATGGTTATCTGGTTTGGTATTTCTGTGCAATTAAATGCTCAGAAACTTTGTTCTGAAACTGTTGAACTATTTCCTCTCCCAATCCCTCCCAGGGCGACGCTGCCCCCTTCAAATCCAATCATGTAACTAACCTTCTGTAAATTATTTTAATTAATCAGGAGATGCTCCCTCAGGTATTATTTTCAGATTACACAACTTCCTCAGTGTCCTGTTGTCTCTGTCCCAACTGTTTTGTTATGTGTTGCTGGGCTCAAATCCAAAATTACAGCATATTTTTCACAAAACAAAATTTTTTGTGTTGTCTTTGAACTATTTTAACCTAAACATTGGGTTTAAATTGTAAATAATCAAATCTGTTTCTATAAACTCTTCAGAAAACGTCCTCACAGGGTTCTAATAGGATACCCACGATGAGAAAAACTGCCAGCACCATTACAGAGCTGTTGTGAAAAGCAGAAGAAATACTCTCGCCCAAGTACAACAAGCCAACGTTTACCCTCCTCACCAGTGCTCAGACTGGCCGGGGTTGAAATGTAAAAATATTGACAAACGTTTACAGGCTAGAGGGAAAGATTCAGACAGCAGTGTGTTTGTGTTTGCCTGCACAGATGGCTAACAGTCTCGCTCCGGCTCAACAAAAGGCCGCTTGATCATTTGTCAAACCTTGCAGCAACCAGACGCCCACAACCACCCACGCAAATGTAACGGAGAGGGGCTGCTGATGTGACTGACACCCATGGCACAGCACTTCTAAAGAGTCATCCTTGGACCGCATGTTGAATCCCTCTCCTCCCTACTGCACCAATCAGGATCCAGCGGGCCCTGAACAATACCTGAGGGAGGACCTATGAGCCCTACAGACAGATTAGAGCCACAGCTGTGCTATTAGTGGACTACAGACTTTAAAGGTGAGTATATTTAGTGCAAACTTGAAGTAATAAATTATCCAGCAAAGGTCTAAAGCCACATTTCTCACCCCTTTCACAAGGACAGAGAACTACTTCAAGATAAAATGCTGTGTCCCAAGAAAAGCTGTCACTTGGGCCAAAGGTTTTCACAATGGGGAATAATTGAGTGTCCACACTAGAGGAGATTGATCGCCTCTTTGGTTTTGGGCTTGGCTGGCCCCTGGAGAGTGATTGACAGCTCATTAGCCAGATGGTGGTACTAAGGGAGGGCTGGACAGCAGCCTCATTGGCTGGCTCTCGCCATGACTAGCATGCTTTGAAGCAGTTATGTCTTTCCGGAGCCTGTTGGGGCAATCGAATGAGAGAAGAGCTGGATGCTCTTTAACACGATGACGAGCTCAATCTGAACACACTCAGCCTTAGTCATACACACTGAACGCTGACCAAAAAAGGACTAAAATCCCTTCGCATTATGACCGAAGTTAGGGCTGCACAACCACAGATAACATGATTATCGCTTTTAATTTGATTTAGGATGACATCACCATTTATAATTAGGGTTATCTATGACTTAGGGGCAATTACTTAAATTAAGTTTCATTTAAGACACATAAATACATTGTTTCTCACTTATTGCCAGAGCTAGACTGAGACAACAAATCTGCAGACATTTCGGGCCCTCACTGGCACCGGATATGTGGTTTTATGCAGCGTTAAATGGTAGGGTTGGGAATCACCAGTGGCCCCACGATAGTTAAATTATCACCATACTTTGGCCACGATACCATATTATCATGACACTTCAGCCATGATATCACATTATCACGATACCTGGGGCCACGATACGATATTATCACGATACTTGAGGCCACGATGCAATATGATCACAATACTTGAGCCTTGATGCAACATTATCACAATACCTGGGCCACGATGCAATATTATCACGATACTTGGGCCATGATACAATATTATCACAATACTCCTGCCACGATGCGATATTATCACGATACAACATTATCACAATACTTGGGCCACGATGCAATATTATCACGATACTTTGGCCACGATATGATATTATTACAACATGATATTATCACAATACTTGGGCCACGATACGATATTATCACGATACTTGAGGCCACGATGCAATATGATCACAATACTTGAGCCTTGATGCAACATTATCACAATACCTGGGCCACGATGCAATATTATCACGATACTTGGGCCATGATACAATATTATCACGATACTCCTGCCACGATGCAATATTATCACGATACAACATTATCACAATACTTGGGCCACGATGCAATATTATCACGATACTTTGGCCACGATATGATATTATTACAACACGATATTATCACAATACTTGGGCCACGATACGATATTATCAAGATACTTGGGCCATGACACGATAATATCAAGATACCTGGGCCACAATACGATATTATCACGATACCTGGGCCACGGTGCAATATTATCACGATACTTGGGCCACAATACGATATCATTGAGATTTTTAATATTTTGCATTACAGTGAGTACTATGATACAAGATATTGCAATTTATACATTTTTTTCTACTTTTTAGCTAATTTAGCATTTGTCTTATTTACACAGTATTTTATTTTCATGTAGCACATCTTGCGAACCTTACATCTATTTGTTGTAATATTTTTTCTTGCTTTATGATGTCACCTCTGCCAACCTCACTGGACAAACAGTAGATTTTATATTTCCATTACCATAGATTTGACTTCACATTAGCAATTGATGCACATGAGCACACATGTATACAGCCAAGACCAAAATTGTGTTCCTGATTAAAGTTTGATTAATTGTGTCTAAGTTATTAAACACACTTAACACTGTATTTTTCATGAGTATCCTCCCAACTTCTTCCCTGCTGATAATGTCCCTGCTGTGATTCAGAGGCCTTGTGCAGCATCAGACGCTTTTCTTTACCACCAATTTTCACTTTAAATGCCATAAGTGTATCTTCCCCTCCAAGATCGTTCTCTCTTTGAAGATTGCAAAAGCATAGAAGGCGACAAAGCTCCCACTCGATGTTGTACCAAAGCACTTTCTCTCCTTTAGCACCTCCAATCTGCAAAAAGCCATGGAAGGAAGCGGCGTTGCAGAGCACATTCAGCTCGGCGAGTGCAATGACTAACCTCAAACACATTTTAGCGCCTCCATACTGTGGAAAAATGATGTTGAATACCTATGGGAGGCTGTATGGGATGAAAGAATTTACAAGGAAATAGCATGCGAAAAAAAAGGACACCACAAGGTGACACACCAGACCCACGATTACTCTTGGAAGGAGGTCATGGACCTTGTGCTATTAGTCTAGTCTGAGTCATTCTGCCACAGCCATAGTGACTGACAGAGCGAAAGCCACATTAGACAAGACTTGGGAGTGACTGTGAGTGCACAGACATGGAAGAGATAGGTCTGGATGGAGGCCAGAAAGCAAAGTCTGACATCACCGAACCCACTAAGTGTTGTCTCAGAGGCAGAGCAATGGGGGGGAGAGGACAGGATGGGGAGAGTGGAAAATGAATGAATTAGAGGCTTGGCTATGATGTCGAAAACTGCATTTAAAAACCTCTGTGAGTAGAAAAAGATATCTTTGTCAATGCAGAGGATACTTCCTGTAGTTTAAAAACAGCAACAACAGAGTGTAATGACAATAAAGAGGTAACCAGCAGGAGCATTTTTGCACAGATTTAAGAGGATAATCGAGAGACTGTAAGAATAGCGGGCAGGACTAGGTTTGCAAAAGCGAAAGTGCAAAAAAGGAGGAAGAAAAAGCGTGGGAGTGAGCGCAGAAGAGGAACAAGCAGAGGCTATGAAGAGGCTGGAGGAAAAGATCCTGATGCTACAAACGTATGCTGATGAGTCAGGGTGCAGGCTTGTGATGTGATGGGAGACTGATCTGACACAGAGAGATCTGCTCACAGCACAGGAATCAGCTGCTCTCTGGGATTGGCTGCAGCTCAGTGCATTTTCTGTGTGTTTGTATGTTGGGAGTGTGAGTGAAGTGAAAGAACAGGGAAGAGAGGAAAGTGACACGGGGAAGTGAGTATGTCAGGGCTGGAAACACGTCCATTTTTCAACCTTTGAAAATCATTGCAACATCTAGAAAGTGATTTCTCTCTCATCTTTCCTCCTCACTCGAAGAGAGGGACTTTGCACGGGGTGAGAAATGGGTGTGTGCATGTGGGGGAGGTGGGGGAGATTCCTCTGATCATATATGATTTATCAAAACCACAAGATAAAATAGTTGACTTCAGTCAGCTCTCTAATCACGACCCTCACCCCTTTAATCAAAGTGACAGCGAATTCTTCAAAGCAGTTTATGGCAGTAGAAAATTCCTAGCCCCACCCGCCCGGCTTTCATCCCATCCAATTTCCACTCAACCTAAGATAATAGCTCTGCTGTAACAGCACGGCAGATTCCTCCATGGGTCCACCCTTTTACATAAAGCATCATCTTCCAGATAGTAAATTGGAAGTCCATCTAGCTGCATGGACCAGCACACACAAAATAAATAAGCATGCCCTTCATGAATATTCACACTATCCATCTACAACCACAGCCATTCACTAGGTATAAATTATGAATACGCCTGGAGTTGGGCCTAAACAGGAGAATGAATTCAACTGTTAAAAGCAAGGGCAGGTTTCTATCCACGAGCCGTCCTCACTGCAAGGCTGCTTAAATGGCACTTGGCAATCCGGTGGAACATGAATCTCAATTAAGAGAGGAAATGATAAGAAATCTGCTCAGACAAAGGCTCACGTGCCGCACTCTGGCAATCGCTCACTAAACATACACTCTCAGCAATAATACATGAAAAGACAGGGATCAAAATAAAAGACCGGGGAAAATTGAAGGGGAACCGTGTGAGAAATATAGTTCCTCCTCTGCGCTCTGAAAGAGCCCATTTCTGTTACATGACATGAAGTGACAGCGGGTGTAGCCCCTCTGGCAACACTGCATTGCCAATCAGAACCTTTCTGCTAACTGACAGCCCTTGACATGAAGCACACCTCAACCATGAGCAATACAATGACACCAAGGTGCAGAGGAGAAAACCGCTTCAGAGGTAGTTTTGTGCATTCAAAGTTGGGCGGCACGACACTGGAAAAAACGGACATCACGACACGTTTGTTTTTCATATTAGCTGAACATCGTTATCGGCAAATATCGGCTTTGCTGACAGACATGGAAAATTTGTAAATAATGTGTCATGCGTTGATGTCAGTAGCCGATGGTCATCTAAATCGATATTTCAAACATCAGTTTCAGTATTGGTGCATCTCTATTTTTGATATCAGCTCCAATCCTAAATATCAGCCTCGATAATCAGTCAACCCTTTTAAATCAAAGTGAAACATCAATAATTTCTGCAGCCCAGATTTAAACTGAATTAACATCAAAAAGAAAAGAAAATCTGCATTTTTGTTGATTCATTCCATCTTTCTTCGAGGAGTTTCTTTGACACGCTGCTTAATCTGCATTTAATCGTTCTCTCCATGGAGACTTTGTTCCTTGTAAAATTATGAAATTATTTGGGTATCATTAATGTTTGTACAAACAGAATGATTAAGACGTAATCAAATCAGACTGGAGGGCTGGATAAGTCCATGACAATTTTGTATCCGTCACCATAATTTACGGCTGACACGTGTTTGTGTGTGACTTCCAGAGGACACACTGTGCATCAATGTAAACCTTAGTCCAGACTAACGGGGCATTTCACCCTTAAACAAATACGCCAAATGAATTCTTATCCTAATGTTTCCTGATTACAGACCCCAGGCTGAACACACTGCCATGTCATCCCTGCACAACACCCATATATCTCTGACATTCATTCCTGCCGTTTGTTCCTCATGCTTCAGATTGTGCATGCAGAGCAGGTGACACATTTTCCACCGATGCCCCTGCGCATTGCTTGGACATTGATTTTAGCCTGAGGTAGAGAGGAGGACAGCTTGCAGGGATGCTGCTGAGGACAGACTGCAGGAAAAGAAATGAAGAAAAAAAAAAAAGAGGGAGGTGGAAAGCATCGGTTCAGGATAAAGAGGCACCAGCTAATGAAACAAGTCGAACACAATGTCAAAGTGAATTTTTCTATTCTTCAGTACAGACAGTGATTTACTTCAACCTCTCTCTGCACAAAAGCGGCCTCTTAGCTGCATTGTTTACTTCATATTCAACACGATTGCCTTGTTTTGTTGGACACGGTAACGTTCAGAGAACCCTTCAATGTCATAGCTATCTATTCAAAGACAGATTTCAACACAGCAAGGGCGGATGCAGGGAATTCTGTATGCATCTTCAATTCACGCCATCAAAGATCCGATGATGTGACGTCTCTGTGCAGCTTATTCTGCGCAAAACAAAAAGCAAAACCTCAAGAGGATGCCCTGCCTGTGTACCACCGGAGCAGCACTACACCTGCTCTGCATGTCAGATTAGTCAGGTGGGTAAGAGCCTCAGTGAAGAGGGTGTGCATCACAAGACTCTCATACAGCCACATCCTGGAGTGCATTTCAGCAGCAGGGAGAAGACCCTTTATTCAGGAGGAGCTACTGCTGTCTCCTCTCCCCCTCTCTCTCTCTCTCTCTCTTTCTCTCTCTCCATAAGTCACCTGTTCCACCAAGTGTCTGAGATACCAGGTAAACAGTGTAACAGATGTTAGACAGCTGTTGCACAACAAAATCAGACGCATCAGAGTACAGAAATGCAACAGCCTGACCACTTTGTAGGAACAATTTTACAAGATAAAGAAATGACAGGTTATATAATCAGCTTCATCTCTATGTAAATGAATATAAAGGTTTTCTTATACCATGTTGTCCATATGATACCTATACCATGATCAGCATTGGTGCAGCAGAGAACTCCGCATTGGATTAAATCTTTTCCCCTCACTTTAATAACAGCCAAAAAATCTACTACTAATTTTACACCCAGAGTTGTCAGATCACTTTTTCTACTTGTATTAAACGGCATTTTTTCAATGTTAGAAACATAGCAAGGCTTGTTGTCTGTTATGTAACGTTATATTCAAGATTACAAGGCCACTGTTGTTTTGCAGCGCAGTGACACAAGAGAGAGAGTGGCGCTTACTTGTTAGGAGAAGAAATGCACCAACAGATGACACAGACAGACGACGATCAGGGCTTAAAAACACAATCCAAATCGCCGAGAGTGCTAATAGCAGCTCCAAAACCAAACACGAGTACTTGAAATTGATCTCTGATTACTGTCTAACCGTCAGTTTTCTCAGCTCAAAGGCTGTAAACCTGGAGGAGGAGTGTTTTATGCACAAAGCAGAAGAGACACGGCGAGTTTTTATCAGAGGTAAACCTCGTCTGAAAGTGCTGGTTGCCTCAGACATCATATTTACAAGAACAACAGTCGTGTGAGTGAGGCTGTTGTGCCAAATTTTCCATCAGCTGAGCACACCTAGGGGCGCTGAGCGGAACATTGTGAACCGATCAGAAGTGAGTTATAGAAAAGCACCTCTGACATACTATCTGAGCTTCAGCGGATGTCCTTTCTGTCAGGTAAACAACAAGTGGCCCTTCAATTTTATAACATGCTTACTTTGATTCAGATGGACTTAAGGAACGAGGTCCACAGATACTGCCTTTGTTGATATCTGTTAGGGCTGGGTGATATGGGAAAAAGTTTATCAATATATGTTTTTTTCATATCAGTCGATACCGATATATATCACGATATAAAAGATGAAATTTAACAGTGCTTATTGGTAGCATGTCTTTAGCAATACAACAAGCTACTGCATCTGTGTGGTCTTTGTGTCTCTTCAACGTTTTGTCGTAAAGCGTTGCGCTAGAGAAAGCAGACTGAATGGTCGGCTGTTTCTGCTTGCTCCGCTCGGGGTTTTTAACCTTTTGCTTTGTGCGTGCTCTGCCCCGTAGGCGCTGCTTCAGGTGGTGAAAAAGATTTGAGGTATTCCCCGACTTTACTAGAAAATGTACTTGACTGAATTTGCACATTACTCTGTTAAATACCTCCACACCACCGACCTTTTTTTACCAGTGTTGTCGTCGATGTCGTCATCTGTTGAGCCTTCATCTGCATTTTTGTCGGGGGTAGCACTCATTTTCTTTTTTCTCACCAGCAGTGCTGTCGGCTTCAAGTGTTAAATTGCCATGGTTGCGTGTAGCTGCAGCCTAAAATACTTCAGCGCAAAGCAACTCCCCTTTTCATTGGCTAATTATTAAGTCTACCAAAACATGTCAGAATGCCGACTACTGAAAAGGATATTGACCATGTTTTATATTGATATTGAGGGAAATTAATTTTCGATATATATCATTATCGTTTTATCGCCCAGCCCTAACATCGATAATTGTTAATTCTATTATTGTTTACAAAAGATGACATTGGCTGGATCATAACAGCACAGGGTTCAATACTAGCGTTTTCACTGCAGACATTAGTTATTTACTTTTCGATCAGCCTCATGAGCACAAGCTGATGATTTTAAAACCTCAACTTCAGGGTAAATGAGACCCTGTTTAAAAGGGTTTGGACGAGCTGAAAACGCCAAACCATGTCATCATAACACTCTTACACAAAGGGGTCATCGACCATTTAGCACAGTCCACTCCCTCTCTAGACTGAAACGCAGAGAATACAAAAACAGGGCTGAGATCTTCACATCTAATATTCAACCCATGTAAATGAAAAGGCACCGAGTCACACAAGGCAAGGTGAGCGAGAGAAGAGAAAGCAAGCCAGCTCTTAAAATCACCTGATCTACCTACAGTACAGTATGTCAGTGTAGATGGGGAGGAGGGAGGGGGAGGTTAAGCATCAACTCACCAACTCTGTCCGTCCTGCATCACTCTGAAGCACCTATTTCATCACAAGGACATAAAAATATATGACATATATAAGAAAATGCACAAGTAAGGGGTTTTCAAAATGAATATTAAAGCAGAAAACAACAAAAAAAAAAAGACAAGTTCATGTTGGCAGAAGAGGAAGGAGGGGAGGAGGGGGTTCAACCCGGTCCAGTCATGACATCACATTGTAAAGGTGTGAGATGAGCCCGAACCGAACAGGCTCTTGAAAAAACACTGTTACCCAAGAGAGAGAGGGGGGAGCAACACAATGGGTCCATTTGGTGCGGTTCGAACCTGAGTATAGTTTCCAGCATCTCTTGACACAAACAGGCTTGACTAACATCTGCCTGAGCTCCAAATAAAGAGACGAATATTGCAGTTGTGATGCCAGTCTCCGCAGCTCTGCTAAGCTAACTTACCGGTGACCACCTTAGCTGGCTAAACCCACCAACTACAGCTTTATTCGGACCGTAATTTCACTCCAAACCCCTTTTGTTGTTGTGCTTTATGCGGGACATCATTCGCTGTCCACTTTCTGTGCCACATTTCACAGATTTTGTCTCAACTTTCTTGAAGCTAACGGTGCAGTTCCTGTGTTTTTACCTTGCGTCTCCTCGTCTCAGCAGTACCACTCCAAACAAAGCATTGGTAAATGACTCGGAGGTTTTGTTTCCAATTATCCACCTTATAACCGTTCACATGGGAACACCCGGCCGGACTCATGACAGACTCAACATTCACTTTGGAGTTTTTAGAGGCGACAGTGAGGAGTCTCCTGGATGTGGGGTTTACTGAGCTAGCTAGCTAACACGAACTGTGAGTCCAGAAATGGTTTCCGTTTGGGACAATCGGGGTGTAGTATCCGAATAAAAAGGCTCCTCGGACATCTGTTTAAGACGCTACGGCTCAGTTCATGAAGTCATCTCACAGAAGCGCCACTCCGGTGAAATTACGGCTCTCCTTAGCTGTTTTGACAGTTGCCTTTTCCCCCATTAGCTCCACATCCACTCTCACGATTAGCTTTCTTTCTCTAGTTAGCCTGCTAACGCTCCACTCCAGCTTCACAATGCCCGCCCAGCGTGCATCGTGATTTGCCGACACAAAGGCGTTGCGTCACTACGTTCGTTTTTCAGCAGATCGGGTGCGCTCGGTTTCGAATCCCGGCGTGTCCCGTTTCCGCTCGGTTTTCGAATCACTACCGCAGGGGTGCATCCGCGATGTTGCTTTCAAAATAACACCCACCCCCCCACTCTCTGTCTACAAACGCTCAAAGAAATTAAACAACGTGACTCTTGAGTGGGATACGGCCACGCTACGTCATTTTATTCAGTAAGCCAATTGTTACTCTTAAACGTCAATCATTTTTGATCGCCGCCTGCTCTCTCACATGAATGAAAATATCTGAATGTCACTCAGAATATTCGTGGAATTTCTCGGGTGTTCTTATATTTCTCTTTAAGAGGTATCCTGAAAGAATAAAGTAAATAGTTCAATTAAAAATAAGAGAAATCTTATGAACGCGTGTGAATGCATGCTCTGTGAAAGTTAAATGCTTATCATTAATTTAAGTCTACCACCTAGTGGCTACATGATGCATATAGTTTAAAGTCAATCATTTAAAATTCCCAAGACTAAATATCCACGTAAACTTGATTACAGTATAATAACAGGGGCATGTCCAGACTTTTTAAAACAAGGGTGAGTGGACCAACCAGGGAAGTGAAAAAATCTATCATCTATTTACCATTTCTGATAAATATCTGGTCAATTTTCTTCTCATCATTCCAATTATAACTTCTTGAACTTAAAGGGATATTCCTGTGTAGAATTAATTTAGGGTCAAACACACCGTAACACCGAGTTAGACAACCCCTCGAGGGATGAATGTTGCCGACCGCTTGCTTCTCTAGTTATACCAACTTTAGTAACGACCGCACGATAGCAATACACAGAGCCACTCGCTCAACCAAAACGCCACTCTTTAGCCACAAATAATGCTCAGAACACACCTAACTTCATCAACAGTACATGTAGAGCCCCAGCATAGCACTAGCCACCAAACGTCTTTTTAACTTTGCCTAATTTCTTTAGCAAAGAGACTAAACACAACTCACCTACTGTCTTCCAGCAGCTGCTTGTTTGACTTAGACTTAAACTAAACTTTATTCATCCCTTGGGATGACTCACGCAGGAAATTCGGCTTACCAGCAGCTTTAACAAGTAGAGGCACAGCGCACAGAGGTAAAAAGTGCAGAGTGAAAAGGTACATAGTCTGCATAGAGATGGAAAAAAGACATACACTCCTAATGAAATATAGAAGTGGCATATGATGGTGTGTGTGTGTGTGTGTGTGTGTGTGTGTGTGTGTGTGTGTGTGTGTGTGTGTGTGTGTGTGTGTGTGTGATGGTTAAAGCATGTGAGCTGGGTGTGTGGTGTCTGCCGCCTCTTCCCTACTGTCCTCAGTCACCTCCTACCCCCCCAGTGAGGAGTTGTACAGTCTGATGGCCTGGGGGACAAAGGAGTTCCTGAGTCTGTTGGTCTGACACTTGGGAATGTTTGTAGTGAGACCTCAGGCCAGTCCATTACGGACTGCTGTGGGGTGCCGCAGCTCAAGGTAGAACATTTATGATCATTTCTTTATCATTTCCTTGAAGTAATAATCACCATATTAATCATTTTGCACTGCAGACACGGTAGTTTTTCTGCCTTAGCATCTTAGTCTGATTGCATTTCCATGAAGAAATTATTATATTTTGTCCTTGCTACAAACAAGCGCCTGCTGGAAGAGAGTAGGTAAGTTGTGTTTAGTCTCTTTGCTTAAGAAACCAGGCTAAGTTAAAAAGATGTTTGGTGGCTAGTACTATGGCTGGGACCCTATATGTACTGTTGATGAAGTTAGGTGCTGTTCTGAGCAATATTTGTGGCTATAGAGTGGCGTTTTGGTTGAGGGTCGTTTATGGCTCCTCAGACCTCTGTGTATCGCTTTCTGCTGTTGTTACAGGCATGTCCAAACTGTTCCACAAAGGGCTGTGTGGCTGCAGGTTTTTCTTCCAACCAAGCAGCAGCACACCAGACTTGATTCATTTCATCAGCTGATCTCAGTCTGCAGACAGCTGATTAGTCAGACTGCGTGTTCTTGATTGGTTGGAAGAAAAACCTGCAGCCACACGGCCCTTTGTGGAACAGTTTGGACATGCCTGGAACTGGAGAAGCAAGCAGTCGGCAACATTCATCTCTCGACGGGGTGTCTAACTCGGTGTTACAGTGTGTTTGACCATAACTTAATTTTACACCGGAATATCCCTTTAAGGTCCAGCGTGTAATAGCCCTTTAAATTACATTTAGCATAATAGACTTGATAGAAATTAACAATACAACTAATAACAAAGCCATAATTTGCCTGAATATGAAGTTTTAGTTATGGTTAACTTGGAATAATCCTCTTGAATCCAAGTAGGAACCCAGTCTTGTATCACCACGTTGCTACAGTAGCCCAGAGCAGACAAACTAACAGGCCTTTTTGTTCTTTTTTTTTTTTTTTTTGGTGCTGTTGTGTGCAAAGTATTTGTATTCATTAGAGATTTTAAAAGTAAAATCTTGACAAAAGGAAGATAATATTTCCACATGCATCACAGCAGCCTCTTGTCCTAAGAGGGGCCAACGTCACCTCTGGACCCTCACTTTCAAGAGGAGTGAGCAAGGGGCCAATTTAATTGAAAATATGAACATTACTCATCTCTCAATATTCCCATTTCTACAAATTGTACTTCAAGAGTATCATATTCCTTTGTATACTTTTAAAATGTACGGCAACATATGGAAACATTTACATTTCCCAAGTCAAATTCTTTAGAAGATATTTGTCATAAGTTGAGTTCTTAAAAATGAGCGCAAAGTCTGCCATGTGGTAGTTTTCTTCAGTTTCAAGTAACAACAATATCTTTAAATACTAACAAGCAAAAAGCAACCTCTTACTAATTTATCAAAAGTCCTACTCCTTTGACGAGGAAAATAACAATTCACAGTTTAGGATTTGGGATGGCTGATTAACTTTAAATCCAAGACAATGGACCATAGAGTTATCGTATATCAGCCTTATTATAATCCTGGCTTTCACTTATGTAAATATAAAATCTTTCTGCACAGGACCAATCTAAGTGTTCTTGATCAGATATGGTTGTTGAATCAGGACAAACAAGAAACAGCACAAGAACAAGACAAGCAAGAACTTCATTCTTGCTTGTACCACACTTTGTCCCACTAGGTAACTTGATAATCAGCTGAAGTAAGAATGTTAAATGATAGCTTGGAGAGGTCACGTGTGCATTTGGATGGTGTAAAGTTATGACATTGTTGCAAAATAGAGACACTTTTAGTCATCTCCTCCTAACATCATTAAGTAATAGGTGATTTTGTTTACCTATAGATGTACAGTTGCATGGACACATGTTTTTGCTGCTTCAAGAAGCCTTATTTGAAACGTTGCGGGGATCTATGTACAAAATAGATGTTTTATTTCATAATATTGTAAACTATTTTGTATTAATCAACTGAATTTGAAGGAGAAAGTACAATATTCCCTTTTGAAATGAAATGAAAATACCTCATTATGATCTCTGTACTTGAGTAAGAGCCTCTTACCTCTCTGCTCTGTCTTGGTAAAGGCTAAAATGTACCAGTTCTATGTCATGACCTGAGAGGAAGATGGCAGGGTGAGCAGCTGGAACGGCTAAATCCTTTTTTTTTTTCTTCCCAAGTGTATCCCAAAACCTAAATATCAGGCTGACCTCCAGGTACCTGGGGCAGGCTAACATGATTTATAATTTCCTCTCTGAGTTTGAAAACCTGCTCTGTAATATTTCTGCAATCAAGCAAAAAAGTTACTTCTCATGTTTGTCCACTTGGGGGCACTGCAGGTCTAAATATATCCACTGTAAACATGTTTTTCCACTGATGGAGAGTTCTGCTTTCATTCACAGAAATGCAGCTACTATTCATTATCTTGCTTGCCTCTACATCCTGTATGGTCTCCATAATTAATGTTATTTTTACCCTGAAGAGGAAACTTAAGTTCATGTTTCTGCTCTTGCACAGATTGTTTCATTCATTACCATTTAAATTTTCAAGTTTTTCTGAAATAAACGTAAATAAACTAGATTTCAGATTATGCACTGCTGTTGATATTAACAGATAGGAACATTTAAGTTGTGCATAACAAAGTCAGAAATATAAATCATACACTGAAGACTGGATAAATTTGGAAACACAATGTGACTTCAGTCTGAGAACAAATGATTAATCATTATCCGCCCTCAGTTTTGAGCCTTTTGTTAGTTTCTGTTTAACTTGAACTCAATGAAGGAGAAAAACAGGATGTTTTGGATTCTTATGGGAGGACTTAAGCTAAATCATCAACATATTTTAGGATATCCCCTGAAAGCTAAATTTGGATAAACTGGGCTGGGACCGTTTTCCACTGAAAACAGCTGCATCGCTGGAAAGACAGCGAGGCGCTGCACTGCTTAGGAAGCTGAACTTTCCTCCTAAATGTAAAGACGTCAACTGAAAGTGTTTCTTAAAATCTGACAGGGGGTTAATGTGCATCAATAGATTCAGCAGATGAGAGGATGAGTTTTAATACCAAGAGTCAGAGTGGAGTCTCTCATGAGTTGAAGTATGCAGAAGACAAAGCTAAGACGTCATGCAAGTCTAGCTGAAGTAAAGACAAAGCACCAACTGAGGTCACAGCCCTGCATGAACAACCATGTGTTTCCTTCTTTTTGACCTTATACTGTCATATATTTTATCATTTCTCTGTGCACACATTTCTTTTAATGCTTTTAATGCTTTAAATGTTTTCTGATGAACTCTGTTTTGCACTTTGTAATGCAACATTGATAAGACATTCAGATATTTGTTTTGATAATAACACGGCTTCATTAATCTTGATGAAACCATTGACCTTATAAATGAAGTGAAAGTTTCGCCTTTAGGCTAAAAAGGGAAGGAAAATGCACAAGTACCTGCAGTAGGACAGCAATATAAGTAAATCAGAGTGTGCTTGAGGATGCTACTGCCTCACCATTGTCAAGTCTCCACCATAGTAACATAAAAACAGACACTGCAGTTTTTCTGCTGGTTATTTTTTCACTGCATCAAGACTTTTTGACTTTGTCAGGAACCTCTATTTCAACAAAATAAAAATAAAAAATGTAATTGACTAAATTTTAAAATCCTCTTATTAAAATTATGGCACTTGTCGTGTTAGGGTCGCTGTTGACCCAGTTAGATCAATATCTAATAATCAGAGCAAAAACTGAAATCACAAGTGTACTGTCAGGCACCACACAGACAGTCAGATCCTCCTCCAATCATGTGAGATTTAGGAAATTCTAATTTTTCCATGTTTTTTCTATCATGACAAAGAAAGGCCCAGAGGCTCACAACGAAAAATAATACAAGCAATATTTTCATGGATAATGAAGCCTAAAAGTTAACCTGGAGATGAGAACCAAACTGGATGAAAGAGAATTGTTTTTAGTGTAATTTACAGCTGACTAAGTCAAAACCAACCCTTAACATGGTGGGTGCGTAGTAAATGCCAACACAGGAGGAAGGTTAAAGCTCCTGTGAGGAGTTTTTGGATGTTTATGAAATGAACTGAAATTCATATTGATGCTTTTTTATGACATACAATAGCAAATAAAACCACCAGCAACAAGAGTAAAGAATTCTTTACCCTAATTTTTAATGCCTGAAAACCTTACAAGGGGGTTGGTGTCAGCCTGTTTTTACAATTTTCACTTCAAATATTCACAACAAATTATAAGTTTGACTGTCAAAAGTCTGAATGATGAGATTTAAGTTTGGAGACACGACTCAGGTTGAGTTGAAAATTCCTTACAGGAGCTTTAAGTAGCAAAGGCGCAGATAGGGCCAAGCTGATAACTCACCAAAGTGCTCAAAGAAATGCTATGATTCACAACAGTGTTTACATTTAGAAACGCTTTCATATTTATATTTAACAGATCTGACAGGAAGAGTTAATTAGCGACTCTCAATCAGCTGTGTGACCCCAGCTGCAATCACTAGTTGTCATGGTGACAGTGATTGCTGACTGCCTCTCGTGTTAAACAGTTCATCCAGCATAAAGATTAAACTCTATCTCAGAAACCGCAGAGCAGAATTCCTATCTGGATTTAGCCTGCGAGGGAGCCGACTCTGCTCTGATGCAATTATAGCACCAGAGAGGACGGCTCCAGACCAGGAGGTCATCACTGCTCCATGGAAGTGAGCCTCTGATTTCTAAGAAACCTGACTGCTATTACAAACACTGATGAGAGTGAGTGGGGATAATAGTTCTGGTTTGAATTTCTGAGTAAAGTGCATTCATTCAGTTTTGGATTGAATTATTCACTTCAGTAATTAGCTCGTTGAAAATGCTGATGTTCCCTGTACCTTTAGCGGGCTGTGTGTCTGTTTGTTTGTCAGCAGAATTGGTTAAAACTCTACTGCCCTGATTTAATAAGACAGAGTAATGGAGTTTGGAGCTTGGAGCTTACATAAACAAGCATCTTCGTGATTGATCGAACCCTGAGGCAACTACAAAATCTTTTATGTAAGCTGTTTTCTTGGCTTTAGTGGAAAACCACCTTATTTATCTCTGTATTTTGAATCAACCTTATCATCTGATCGGCCTGGGTTCATGTTGAAGCTCATAATTTCATGGTCTGCTTTACTGTTTCAAATCACATCCAACTTCACGATTTCACTCATGTTAAAACCTCCTGTAACAGATGCAGATGAGTTGGTTTTCTTCAATTTGGTAGATGTCATAATCTGAAATATAAATGTTCACTAAAGACATGAAACTCGACTCCTTTGGCTGATTAAATGTGTCATGTGGTTGTCCCTGCGTTCATGCTGACTTTGCCTGGCAGTGGTGTTCCCATCTGTTTACCACAACACCAAGCCTTTTATCGACACGAGTTCATGGCGCTGCGTCAGGACTTGCTGTGATGCCGTTACAGTGTGGTCTATGGGGCCGGCCATGTGATGCAAAAACTCTCCTTGTGCTCTATTATTTCATCATTATTACTTATATTTTATTAGATGGATGATTTTTTTGGTTAAACATGAGATCCGTACCTCGTTAAAAAATAAATCAGAGTTCATGCATGTAGATAAAGCTCCTTTGTATTTGCATTAATCCTTGTCAGCTTTCTTTAAACAGTCAAACATATAACTTATTGAGAAAGTTTGTGGTTGAATTCACCAAAAAGGCCTTTTTTCCACAGTGTTTTGGCTGATTCCTGCCCTGTTTGCAGCATTCACAGACATTAAAAACTACACTATAAGAATACTCATTTTCTCATTAACGGTCTCACTTGCTTTCACAGAGGCATTATAATCAACTCCAGTCAGTTTCATTACCAGTTTTGAATATTCACAGGAGTTTCAAAAGAACTCAAACTGGCCGAAGAGGTAGGAAAAGGATGTATTTCTTGTAGCGCAGTGGACCCTGCTTTGACTGTACTCATGATCCATTTTCTACAAAGTTTCGATTTCATGACCAATTGACCCAAACATAGATGAAAAGGCGGCTTTGTCCACTGGATTAAACACAACTTTTGTCAAACAGAGAATGATAAACAGCTGACTGACTACTTTTACAGGAACAAAATGCAAACGCTCTGGACACATGATTCGAAATGCTTTCGGTTGAGTCGAACTTGTGTTTTGCAAAGGCTATTCGAGCACAAACAGTTCTCCGGTATTTATGAGCGTGGAGGAACACAAATGATCTCATTAAGAAACTTGTTTTATTGGTAGAAATCTCAGACCTACTGACGCATTGTAACCAAAGTGATGAACTGTGGTGAATTATGTGAAGAAGCATGCTGGGATCAGAGCAGAGCTCAGCAGACATCTGCATCCTGCCTGCTGTCCGCAGAAACACGGCTCTGTGCTGCCTTTTCACGTCAGCACAGAGCCATTTAGGGACCATGGAGCTGGTTTGGCTCAGGCTGCGCAGAGCTCCCTCGACGGTTATTAGACAAAAGTTTACTCTGAACTGCAAATCAGAAAACAACTCTCAGCTCTGAGCTTCATAGTTTGGAATTTCTGCAGAACCAGACTTCATGTGGAGAGGCCTACACTTGTTTTTCTCACAGCTTTTATCCTGATGCTTTCTCATGACATATGGTCTGCAGTCGAAACGTGATGTAACAGACACGCCTGTAGAAAGTCGAAATTTTTAAGAGAGCAATACAAACTCAAACTTAGAATAAACTTAGAGTAACTGTGCATGAGCCAAGAACATATTTAATGTCAATAAATCCTCTATGTGGTTAAAGAAGATGCATTTTACTTAAAGCTCCCGTGAGGATTCTTTACTTAGAGTTGATTTTGGCGCATCCTGCAGTTAGAGCCGTCTTTAACGTGTGTGAGTATTAAGCAAAACAGTTGTACATACCACTGACCACCATCACCACAATCTCCAGTGAAAAATAAAGTCATCTACTGAGTCCAAAATTGGCCCATCTCGTCACTGACGCTCTTATTTACTTTTGTCGGTCATAAAATGCATCAATATGAACATCAGTCTATCAGCTTTAAATCACTTTGGCTTCAATGTTCAGTCAGAATTGGTGATAAATTCACATTTTCTGTCAAACTTTTTTACTCCTGCACGCACAATTGTGATCTTTGTTATTCCTTATACCATGAGGATAAAACCTACATAGCAGCAGGGCACATTTACTACAAAAATAACCGTGTTATATAAAGTAGAAGAGTAGAAAACCAACCTACTGACATCAATAATCCTTTCAAAATGTCATCTCTGTGATCTTACGGTTATTAACTTTATGAACACGAAACAGATGGATTTAACTTTAATGGAGGCGTGAGTATAATTACATGATTTAAATGAGAATAAGTACTGTTTGTGATGTCAGTAGAATAGAAGTCCTATATTTAAAGTCTGGATCTAATTTCCTCAAATAAGCCCGAGCTTATTTAGACAATATGCTCCATTAGGAATACATTAAACCCTAATTTTCAGCTCAACATGAGTTCATTTACGAACACACGAAGCTCTTAATCTAAACATGATTATTAGCGACACATGACCTGCAATATCAAAGCAGTATTTTCTGACAGCGAGGTTTTTTTCTCCTCCGTAAATAGGTCAAAGTCGCTCGAATACAGCAGCGACACATAAGTCTCAATGAAAAATGTTCAAGCGTGACCACTGTGCCGGGCGTTTACCCCAGCAGGGACTTTAACAACCTTTACTACAACCACACGCGTCATTTCGCTCACCTGACACAGCTATTATGCTCTGATATCATTTCAATTACAGCTACAATGTGGATGTTATTACAGTCTAATTTCTTTAATGATCTGTGTGGGATGAGATAGCTGGGTAAAAAATATGGCCCATTTCTCAGAGCGAGTATAAAAGTAAGATGTCAGAGCTCTACCCATGACCCAAATGGTGAAACTCCCACGCTGCATAATGATTTATCTGGGTCTCTCAACTCAGATGTAGGTCACACACATACAAACTCCAGAAGTTTTCAGTATAGACGTAACCAAGTCACTTACACTAGAAATTAGCGCTTGGTTAGATCACCAACGTGACAACTCAGCTGGAGGTGTGACCAAAGGAAATCTTCACTAAGCCTTTAGGTTTAAATGCGAGGTGAAGCTAACTCCTAATTAGGTCTTCAGCGGCCGTGACATGAGGGTGGTCTCTCTGTTGTGGTGACTAATGAGAATTTGTGGCTGCGGTGTTTACCAGATGTGGGCACTGTGTTTGTGGAGAGGCAGAGGGGATTAGCTGCTGAATCTGGCCTTTGATGAGGATGTATGGCTGCGGGACTAAATAGGTCAGGGAGGTTTAGAAGATCAAGAATCAAGGAGCGGAACATTTCAGCGGCAACAGCATAGAGCGGTGATTCAGCTCCACTCATGTCTGTGGGTCAGTGTGTTAAAAGGACAACACACCCCTTACTCCTTTATTATGATAAATACAGCTGTGATGTTATTGACAACAGACTGTAGAAAAAATTGACCCAGTATCAGTGACTTATCTCTTCGGTTTCTGAAGAAGCCTGAGAAGGTCTGACACTTCATTTCCTCTTGTATAAGATGCAAAAGTGGCTCAAATGGAAATTCATCATCTCATTCATCCAAAACTCCTTGTTTGTTTTGGTCCGTAATCAACCTCAAGGGTTCAAGTTTAAAAAAATTTCCCAGGATCATCAGCCTCTCCTCCAAAACTTTGAGTAGATTCTGTATTCTCTATCTGCCTATAAAGATAGCGTTAGACGGAAAGGGTTTTTATCTATTGATTTAAGGATCTGTAGACACCATGCACATACACAAACAAGGCAGCAACATGGTGGTCACCATTTTGAAATTGTTGACTCTGTTTCACTTCTGTTTATCTTGAAACCAGCGAAGACATTAAGATGAGGACTTAGTTTAAAGCTGCTACCTGGCCAAGAATTAAAATGTGACCAAATATTAGTCAAAACAGCCTAGCTATGATCGATAATACATACATTATGACCTCGGTATAGCAAAATTCAACCTCCTAAATTGGCCATTTTAACCAAGCATTAACTTCAAGTGTTAGAATTACTTTAAATACGCGAGTGCAAAAAAATGCAGTTCCCCAAGTGTCCACTTGAGCCTGACTCCAACAGCCAAGGACTCTCTACAGACACTCTTAATAAAATGCACACTTTTAGCAGTCAAAATGAAAATGTTTTTTGTTTGTCCTCACTGTAGGAGAAGTTAATTAATTTAGAGGTTTGGTTAGAGTAAGCGTTTTGCATGATTGGGGATGATTACGGGCATTTATTGCTTAACTGGCGGCAGATGCGCTGTAGACAAGCAGCAGCTGTCGGTCTTGGAGATCAAAGCAAATGCAAAAGTGCTGACAGAGCGACTAAAAAAAAGGCAACAAATATTTTTCCATGTAAATACCACAATGAATTTAGTTTTAGGTTGGATATTCAACGGATCTACCTGTGTCTTTTCACTCTCCAAAACTGGGAATAGCAGCAGTAGCGTGATTAAATCTACTCGGCACCCTCGCTGTCAACGTCGGGTGTTGAATAAGGGACTGTCTATAAATTACTGATTGATGTTCTCAAAAAAGGCTGTTTTCCTTCAAAAGCGTACATGTCATGTGACCAAATGACCAAAAATTGATTTAAAATAATAGTACTAAAGTCGGACAATAAGACACACCTCTTTGTTTCCCTAATTTGTCCCTTTAAAAAATTTTGTGTTAAATCTAAAGGCAGATTTTGAACATTTTCTTCAAAAGCTTCCATGTCACATGACCAACTGACCTAAAATTGATTTCAAATAATAGTACTAAGGTCGGACAAAAAGATACACCTCTTTGTTTCCCTAATTTGGCCCTTTAAAAATTTTTGTGTTAAATTTAAAGGCATATTTTGAACATTTTCTTCAATAGCTTCCATGTCACATGACCAACTGACCTAAAATTGATTTCCAATAATAGTACTTATCTCGACCACTAAGACACAGATTATTCAATCAATTTTCATTGTGCCCCTTAAGTTCTTTGTGTGCTCCTTACTTTTTCAACTTAGGAGCACAAGTTGAAAAAAGTTAGTGTCAAGCCCTGGCTGAGATATGCAGTTCCTTGAGTGTCCACTTGAGGCTGGTTGCAAAAGCCCCGGACGTCACACGTGAACCAATGCCCTTGGTGGCTCTAATATACAGATTTGTTTGCATGGAGCTAAATCTTACTTTCTTTATATGATTCAACCCAAACACCTCACTCACATTTCGCAACTGAAAATTATAGTTCAGTGAAGTTGACCATATAACATTTTGGTGAAAACATCATCCATCTAACTTAAGCACCAAAAATACACATAAAAAACAAATGTTTGGTTACGTTTAGGCACCAAAACTACTTTTTTGGGTCAATGATAAATTTGGGTCGATAAAAAGTACTTCAACGAAACTGCAGTAGGTGGTAGTGAAGTCTCACTGGGTATACGAAGAACTTACTTCATGTAATTCAATAGATTTCACCTTTGACCCAGTGTACATTTTAGTTTCGAGACTGTTTTCGTCATGAGACTAAGTTGATTTGATTGCTGTATTTGCAGGCAGACTATCAGCAGCTCAATAAACCTGATGAACATTACAAATATTAACTCTACTCGGCTTATCAGGAGTGAAACAATCAGTGAGTCTACAAGGAAACTCTTCATTTCCCTGGCTAATGAGCCCTACACGCGGCGCTGAGAGGATGAGTGTCTGAAGCTTGGTGTTACTGTAATTCATGTTCATGAACGAAGAAGAACAATGCGTCACGGTTATTTTCGATCATGAAATTACATAAACCTTGTCAGAATTATGCCACAGCCTCTGTTAGTGTTGTAAAACTTTTGTCTCTTTTATGTCATCTCTCGTATTTTAACACCAGGACGGATGTATGCGAAAAAACCAAGAGGTGCGCCCAAATGGAAAGACATGACCTGAATACGACGTGTGAAGAGATCTATACAATAGAGCAGACAGTATTAGTCATGGCAGTCCATTAGTAGACCACATTTGTGCCCATCATGCACACCGCTCTTAACTCAGGTTGCCAAGTTCCTCTCTATATGCACATGGCGTGTTGGGTCACACTTGTAGACATAGGAGGATGAATTTAGGTATAGGAGTCGGTTGCTAGGAGGTGGCAAGTGAAGCATTTCTCCACGGCCATCGGAGGTCAGATTGGTTTGTTTAGTGTAATAATGGCTTATCGGTGGCCTATTTATCAGGATATATAGGTTATCGGGTTTTCACCAACAAAATCTATAAAGGAATAGATAACACAAATAAGTAAATATTAAGTTAAGGGAAATTCACACAATGCGTTCGCTATTTAAACTTAAAAATCCCCCCGTTTAATAGTCTTAATAGACAGGATAAGTCACTACATCATTACAAACATAAAATAAACTTTCTAAAAAGAGAAGAGTTACACCGTTCACACCGTGGTCGGAATGTAACCTTATTCATTGGTTAAAAGAACGTGTTTCACCTCACAGGCTTCATCAGGCTTGCGCAGTAAGCAGTCTCAGTCTGGTTTTAAAGGCTGCTGCTGTAATCGGTGCAATGCACAGCAGCTGGACACAAGGCTGGTAAGAGCCAATTAACATGATTGCCTCAACAGACACACGGTATCCCCTTTCATTGTTTTGCCGATGATGTACAGGTGTATTTGCCAGTGAAGGCACCTACTAAAGACTCGCTCAAGGCTGTGTTTAACTGCATGAAAGACATTAAAACATGGATGGACCTAAACTTGTTAAAGCTAAATGAAAATAAAACAGAAGTTATCCTGTGCGGCCGTCCCGACCTGGTTCAGGTCCTTGCCAGCTCCCTTGACCCATTAGCACCGTACGTAAAAACCCATGCCAGGAATCTTGGGTTTATTATTGATGGTGCCTTCAAACTGGACAAGCAGGTCAGTGCTGTGGTCAAGTCCAGCTTCTTCCAGCTGAGACTTTTGGCAAGGATTAAACCGTATCTCAACCAGAGAGACCTGGAAACAGTTATCCATTCTTTTATTACGTCTCGCTTGGATTACTGCAATTCCCTTTACTTTGGAATTGACCAGTCTGAGCTTAACCGCCTGCAGCTCGTGCAGAACGCGGCAGCTCGCCTCCTTTCTGGTACCAAGAAGCGTGACCATATAACTCCAGTGCTCTCTTCTCTACACTGGCTTCCAGTTAGGCACAGGATCGTTTTTAAGATTCTTTTATTTGTTTTTAAATCTCTGAATGCACAATTCAAAAAAGCACAATAAATGCACACATAAACATACATCAAAGATCAAAAACATCACCCTAAATACAGTATTAATTTTTTACTAATTCCTATGAGAGGAGAGGGAGAGCAGATAAAGAGGAGGTGTCACTACCGATCAAATGTCAAATCTGAAATATGAAGAAAGACAAGTCATAAACTACAGATACACAAAACTTATCAAGCTTAAATACAATACATATACAAATACATCATGTTAGATACTCATCTATACCCTGTGAAGGAGAAAGGGGCAGGCTCGGAGGCAGGGCAGTCCTCCTTTTTGTATAAAAATAAACTTTATTTGAGCATACTATCCCTAGTTTACTGGGCACAGCTTTACAGTAGTGTTATTATTGTCATTATTAATCGCTGCCTGGTGGATATTTACGACAATCCAGCTTGTACTTTAAATTTTACTTTAAACTTCAAGCTATAATATATGCCGATAGAGGTTTTTAAAACTTTCGTCTTTGAAATATGCTCAAAATAGCTCTCTCCTTTGATGATGTTTCCACCTTTACTTTGCTGATGACATTTCGTTCAGAGTTTGAGAGAGCGTGGACCAAATTAGAAATCGAGGGGACGTTATTTTGGGTTTCTATTTTCGATTAAATCACCTTTTCTGTGTTGTCAACAGGTTAAAAGAAAAAAAAAACAAAACACGGATACTGTTTTAGCCGGATGACGTCTCTGTGACGTATGACGTAGGCTGTCTGCGCCGCGAAGCAAGAAGGACAATATGGCGGTGGCTCAGCCGAGGCTAGAGAAAGAGGGCGATGACTGCTCTTTGCTGCCCTTGGTTCATGACATTATCAAATGGTAAGATTACCGAGGGGTTAATACGTGCTCTTTGTTCACTTGCAGCTCCGCGGAAACCAGTTTATGTTTCGTAAAAAGGCATTAAGGCAGTGATGCTAAACCTGCTGCTAGCTCAAAGCTAATGTTTATACCATAGACTGTATATACTATAAACTATTCTATATACATACAACCATGCTTAGTAGAAAACCCAGTAACAGTTGGCTTTCTGCTCATAACCCTCTATAAGCAAAAGCATACACGCGTTGAAAGGAGATGCTAAACTCGATCTTTGTTTGAGATATTAATTTTAATCACACCGAGGCAAAACGTTACAGTCTTCCAAACTGACATAAACGGCTCCAATACTGAGTCTTGTTTTTAGGGGAGAATGGGGTCAGTTGAGCCACCCCCTGTTGTTTGGAAATGGTCAAAGAAATTGATCATGTGACCAAATATTTAGGAGATGGGCATCAATTCATGGAGTCTGTGAAGGTTAGAAGTACATGGGTGAAGAGGTTAGACATGTTAAAATGTCTTTTTACAAAACAGCTTTTTAGCAGGTATGTGCAATAAAAATAAAAAGAATTATTGTACCAGTTGAATAGCATATAAAAGAGACACATAAATGTGAAGAAGTGACTGTTATTTAGGGAAAGAGAAGGTGAGGGAGGGCTGGAGTAAAAGTTGGGGGGGTTGTAGGGTTATGGCTCAACTTACCCCATACACGGGTTAAGTTGACCATAGGAGACCACTTTTTTTGGCATGCTGTATTATAAAGCCAGTTAAGAGTGCCCTTATATATTTCTTTTATTGCAAATGATCATTTTATTCGAAGTTCTTTTTGTTTATTTTATGTCATTTTATTAATTATCCCTTTTCTTCGTCTTTTTCTTAATTCCCGTCATAGGTTTTTACTTCTTTTACCCCTTATAGATGGTAAAAAGCTCTTATTTATCTGTTCATTTTATATTATTTTCTTGTTTTAGTCCATCAGATTTTAGTCTTTCTTTCTACCGTTTTTATTTTTATCTCCAGTGTCTCCCAGAGGTAGCTCTTTCCTTACGTAATGTCTCGGTGTCAGGCCAGGTCTCTTTAACAATACATCTTTAACAATATATCTTAAATTCTCACACTGTGTGCGTATGTATGTGTGGGTGGGTGAGTGAGTGAGGGTGGGTGTGTGTCTTTGTGTGCATGTTGGTCCATTGGTGGGTGTGTGGGTTTGAGGGTCGGGTTTTATTGTTGTTAATTGTTGTTTTTAGCCTCTGTGAGGCACTTTGAACTGCATGTTTTGTCTGAAAAGTGCCATAAAAATAAGGTTGAATTTAAATTTATGTTACAAAACTATGATTGCCTTGATGTAGTGATCTGAAATATGAAAAATGGTTCATCTTACCCCACTCTCCCCTACCCATCTCTCTCTGTAAGCATGGACAAGGACAGCCAGGATGTCCATCAAGAACTTGCTAAGCTGAAGTCAAGGATCCAGGAGGCCCGGGAGCAGATCTCCAACATGCCCGGGATAGACAGCAGTCCGCAGGAGCAGCAACAGCAGCTGTCCACTCTGCGGGATCAGGTCCGCACCAAGAACCAGCTCCTGCAGAAATACAAAAGCCTGTGCATGTTTGAAGTGCCCAAAGCATCATGAAAGGGAGGCTGCATCACTGAGCTGACGGACTGGAGATCAGGAGGGATGTGTGTTTTACCTGAACACTCATGGAGCAGAATCAGGAGTTTGAACACAGAAGGACTACTTTTCTGATGCTGCACTGTATTTCTTTATTTTCCTGAGTAGGACAGTCTTACCTTTATAAAGAGATTTGTCATACATTGCAGGATTGTTGTTTTGTTTGTTTAGAATCTGTTATTTTCAGTATGAATTTGTCTTGTTTATCAGGGCATATCTCTGTTTTGTAATAAAACTTGTTCATTTTTTAAACAAATGGGCTTCAAGTCTTTTAACTTCCAAGGAATTAACGCATATTTCTTAAGGAACAGCCTTTATGTTTACTAAAGCATCAAAGGGCAGCACAATATAGGAAAATAAAAACTTATTGTGTTTTCCTTTTGTGATGTATACCTCAAAAATATCTGGGAAAGTAAACCAGACTAACATTGTGTATTTTATTCAGATATACACAATAAAGAATTAACAGTCAGCTCTTTTAAACTCATAATTTTCCTTCTGCGTCTTTAAACAAATCAAAACTTTTCTCAAATTTATTTTCCTCACTTGTTTTAGCTCTTTAAAAAAGACACTGCCAGCTGGTTATTCATATTGTTGAATATTATATCAATAAGGTACGTCAGAAAAAACAAAGTAACAGTTTGTTTTGTTGTGCTTCATGCCGTATACATTACCTATGTTCTCCTGAGTCCATGACACGTCCAAATAGTTGTTTTTCACCTCTAAATCATTTCCAAATTATCAGATTCATTTGTCTGCTTAAAAGTGGCTTAAAAGCACGACCATAACAACTAGACTTCATCTATAAAGAAAAATTTGGGTGACATTCTGAGTGAAGAAACGCTGATTGTTTACACTGAATAATTTATAAAACCAAACTAAGATTCTTGATATGTGTTTATTGCAAAAGGTCATGTTGGGATATCTATAAATTTGTGATTTATTGTCAATTTTAGGGTGGTGTTGTAGTTATTCAGAGTATATAAATTCAGTATTAGACGCACATTATCACACATATCTTGTTAGATCTGATCTGAAGAAGGAGACTTGTCATGTTGTGCTCTCTTACGGCTCTCATGTCGGTGTGTTGCAGGTCAAACATAAACCATCTGCTTGTCTTTAAGGGGCAGGATGACCTCTCCAGTCAGGATTTGATGTAATTTACTAAGAGGACAGCTTCGATCCTTACTCGGCACGCTGCAAAGTCTAAAATAAGACTGAGTTGTGTTTTGTGTGGAATGAAAGAGAAGAGAAAGTGAGTTTTATGAAAGTAGCAATCGGTTTTATTTCTCTTTTTTTTGCAAAAATGACGTAGACATAATAAATAAACATTCATAATAGAATTTGTTCATAATGCAACACACATTCAAGTACCACCAAGTAAAAAAAATAACTAATGTAAACTTTTATTTCCATTGCCATTCCCGGCAAGCTAATGTAGAGGCAGATTTTACAGCATTTTCAGCACTGCATCACACAGGAGCTCAGCTACTTTCTCCGTGTGTGTGTGTGTGTGTCTCAGCAGGATTTGGATCACATTATGCCAGTGTGGACTCAGAGGCTGAAGCCTACAGTGTCTGGGCTGCTGCGCCCTGAATGCAGAAAGACTGGTGCCCACTTCGGCTCTGGAAAGTCTCTCAGAAAGTCTCTTAAGCAAAAAAAAAAAAGAGCGTCAGCAGATGATGCAGCCCCTCTCTTTGGCCTGACCTCCTCCGACAGCTTTCTCCTTTATGTACATCAAGTCACTGTGCACGCTGGGTCTCCGCGCAAACGGCGCCACAACACCATACGCGTTCCCGTCCTTGCACTTCTTGCTTCTGAAGGACTTTCTGTGCAGGACCTCGCAGTACTGCAGGGTGACTTTGCAGTGGCGATCGGGGCTCATCTCGTTCGGCAGTTTGGCCAGTGTAAAGAGAGTCTGAAACATTTGGTCTACGTTGGTGTTCTTCTTCGCTGAGATCTCAAAGTACGCGCAGTGCTCTTCTCCACTGACCAGCTGCTCGATCTCCTCCTCCCGCACTTCTCGGTAAAAGTCTCTGTCACACTTGTTGCCGCAGATGACAAGCGGGACATCCACGTTCTCCTTGGTTTTGTTTCTCAGGCAGGACTTGGTCTCGTAGATCTGGCGCTTCAGGCGCTGCACCTCCTGGAAGGAGTCTCTGTTATCCAGGCTGAATACCAAGATGAAAACATCACCTGGAAAGCAGAAGAGGGAACAGATTTAATACCAAATAATGACATCTGAATACAGCCAATGAATTCTGCAAACAGCAGCATGCTTTTACAGTGAAATCTTTCTCAAAGCTCAACTTACCAGTAAGAATTGAAAGCCTCCTCATTGCAGGGAAGGGATGGTTTCCAGATGTGTCCAGTATGTCCAGTTGGTAAACGTCTCCCCTGATGCTGTAGAATTTCCTGTGAAAGTCCTCAATAGTTGGCGTGTACTGATCATCAAACCTCTCGTTCAGGAACCGAGAGATGATCGCCGTCTTTCCAACTTTGGTGGAGCCCAGAATCACCATCCTGTGGCAATTCTTGGCGGGGATGTCGAACTCATTCTCGGATGGGGACATCTTCTTAATCATGCTTGCAGCAGTTGCACCCAAGGGTGGACGGTGCTGAGGCAAGAGGTGGTTTAAAATCCTTTCAAGGACGGGATGTGAGGACTGTGACCTCGCTCGTCTCGCTCTCTGAAGCCAAGAGGAGAGCGGGCTGGCAATTTATGGGCGAAGTTTGCCGCGCCTCCCCCATGCGTCATGCGTCACGCTCCAGCCTGGGAGCTGGAGCAAGACCCGAAATTATAATGTTACTATGGCTGTATTTGTGCGTCAGCCCTGTCCACTCCTCATTACCAGAGAAAGACAGATAGGCGAGCTTGTTTTTAAGAAGAAAGCGCCTTTAGTGAGAACATTTACCAAGATTTGCATGCGCACTTACCACGAAGACAGTGTTTATCAAACGCAGCTTCTTTTACACTGTTTAAAACAAAAGCCACTCGTACTTTGAAAGTGCGTGATCTCATGTTGACCTCTTCTGTGCATGTGCCAAAGGAGTTTTACTGAGTTCATTAAAAGTAAGAGTGAAAATGCTTGAGAAATTCTGATCAGTTTTCCCCCCTCAATCCTCAGTGATGAGTGAACAGACTGTATCCGATGGAAAAGCAGCTGGAAGATGAGGCATTGAGAAACAGAGGGGGCGCAGCGGCACACAAACACAGTGGGCATGTAGAGACGAAAGAGTGGGTTCGATTTCTCCTGTTATCTACGTTTGACTTCGTGTTTCATCCTATTTAGGTCGACTTTCTCTTTCATATATTTGACTGTGATATGCCTCTCCAGCTTTAATTGTTGCCGTGGATTTGTTGTTGTTAGACAGGATCAAATTTGAGCACCAGAATAAAAAAAGATTCTCTTTTTTTGACCCTGGAAGTGAGCAAAATCCTTTGATAACTTTGAAACGGTTGAACCCACTCAAGACAAGGCTGAGTTTTCTTTGATTTAAAGAGCGACGCTTTCTCTGTAAAGCTGTGTCCGTGACCAACATAAAGTCAACTTTCTGAGAGTGTGGGCATGCTGCAGCTGCTGGATAAAGAAGTGGGCAGGAAGGAAGAAAAGAGAAAGAAACGGAGGACAAAAACAAAAAAAAGGCAGGGAGAAACAAAGGAATGAAGTAAGGAAATCAGCGGGGAAACAAAAAAAAAATAAGAAGCAATAACAGAAGGGCAAAAAGAAAAAAAGAAGGAGGGAAGAGGGGTGAGAGGCAAGGTAGGGAAGACAAGAAGAAGGATGGATGAAAGGTTGGAAGGAAGGAATGCAGAGAGGGAGGTAAAAAGGAAAAAAGGATAAGGAGAAAAGAGGCAGAAAGGGAGGAAGCAAATGATAAATGAAGGAATGGAGGATGGAAGGGGAAAAGAAAGACAGAAAGAAAGGAAGCAAGGATAAAGGAAGGCAGAGAGAGATAAAGACAGACAGAAAGAAAGAAAGAAAGAAAAAAGAAAGAAAAAGGAAATAAAGAAGGAAAAAGGAAGAAAGGAAGGAAGGAAAGGAAGAAAGAAAGCAAGAAAGAAAGAAAGAAAAAGGAAAGAATGAAGGAAGGAAGAAAAGAAGGAAGGAAGAAAGAAAGAAAGGAAGGAAGAAAAGAAAGAAGAAAGAAAGGAAAGAAGAAAAAAAAAAGAAAAACGGAAGGAAAGAAGGAAAAAGGAAGGAAGGAAGGAAGGAAGGAAGGAAAGGAAGAAAGAAAGCAAGAAAGAAAGAAAGAAAGGAAGGAAGAAAAGAAAGAAAGATAGAAGGAAGGAAGGAAAGAAGGAAGGAAAGAAAGAAAGAAAGAAGGAAAGAAAGAAAGAAAGAAAGAAAATAGGGAAGGAAGTAGGTAGGAGAGAAAATTGGAAGGAAGAAATGGAAGAATGATAAAAGGGAAAAGGAGAGAAAATCAGAGACAGGAAGGAAGGATGGGAGAAAAGGAGAGAAAATGGGAAGAAAAGAAGTCGGGAAGAAGTAGGGATAAGAGGAAACGAAGCCAGGACTCAAAAAACAAACAAACATACAGGCCATGACTTCTGTCACATGAGATAAGACTGAATCTCCACTGACGATGAATGAAGAGTCTGTTTACAGATCAAACAGAGACGGATAAAAAGCCAGAGTCTAGAAATAAGGACTCGGACACAAAATGTCCAATTATCATGAATGTAAGCGACACAAGCTCTGTGATCTCCACAACGAGGGAAAGAGAAGAAAAAAACAGTTTTTACAGGTGCTTGGAAGCCATCAAACCCAATAGGTATTGACTTTCTCATATGTGTTAATTGAAGTGCCCCAAAGATGGTCTAAAGATAGAGCCAAGCGTTAGTGACTCAAACTCGGCTCATCCACTTTGTCACCTTCAGCACTTATCGCCTCATACTTACCTTCTCACCTGTGAATCAGTGCGGAGTGAAAACAGTAAAGTCTGGTGTTACTTACACCTTAATCTATATGTGCAAGCACAGTACCTTACGTAAGCAGATATTTTCTTCACAACTGTTACCTACCTTACCTTTTCTTTTGTCATTTTTATGTGTCGGAAAATAACAAAATGACTGACAAGTGTGTCCATAAGATGCACCCTTACTTTTGAAGGTGCTATGACACTTATTAAAGACCTTTATATAGTTAAATTATGTGTCTCTGATCTTAATATTAGACGCACACTGTCTTTAAATAGTCAAGAGATTAGTTTAGTTCATCTTTTTAAGAAGCTAATTCGCTGTCATTTTGACTTTCATTTGCTGCCACAAGACCGCCTGACTCCCAAATCTGCATCAAGACGAGACCCAGATGGAGTGACACCAGTTCAGACAGTCGACATTGGAATTATTCATGCCCCCCTCATCTATCTGTGTCTCTCCATGATTCAAAAACACATACATCTAGAAAGACATGCTAATATTTTACACAATGTCTTCAACAGGTCAAGTGTATTCATAAGTCTTTACCTCCATTTCATGTGAAACCCAAAACTCGCTAACACTGTTGACCTTTTTATAGCCCTCTGTGGGGCATTGGGGATGAAATCAGATAGGTGTACTTAAGCCTGGTTGTTCAAGGCTTGAGCTGTGGGTTTGTGTAACCCAGCCGGAGAGGACCAGCTCGACACCCTTGACCATTGGTCAGTAATTAAGCCAGTGTGTTCCCAGTGACGAGTATCACAGGACACGTGCAGAATGGCTTGTTCAGCGAGGAACTGTCATAACACCATCTGTAAAAACCATTACAGCGAGAGGGGGACGTATGGCTTGTCAATATTTCCATATCTGCTCTTACGTGCTGGTGATGTTTTCATTATCAATCTGAGAAACATCTAAAACCCCAAACAAAACAAAGAAGTATTATTTAAAGCAGAAAACAATGCAGGTAATCTGATTTAAATTTCAATCTGCAGCAGTGCCGTAACCAGATTTTTTGAGGGGCAGGGGCAAAAAAATAAAAAAGGGCACCCCTGTGTGTGATGGGCCACCAGTACAAGGAAAGCTGTAATCAACTAAAGTATGCTTCTAGCTGGATTTTAAAGACTAATTTATGATCATAGCTAGTCAATATATTTTTAAAGTGGCTTGTCAATATTTCCATATGTGCTTTTACGTGCTAGGATGCTGGTGATGTTTTTATTATTAATGTAAAACCCCACACAAAACAAAAAAGTATTATTTAAAGCAGAAAACAATGCAAGGGATCTGATTCAATTTTTCAATCTGCAGCAGTGCCGTAACCAGATTTTTTGAGGGGCAGGGGTGAAAAAAATAAAAAAGGTTTCTAATACTTGCAGACAGATTTTCCACACGTCCCATTTCTTGGTAAAGAGCTTCCATAGAAGAGGTCAAGGCGAGCATTTAGCAGAGGGTGTCTTTATTTGTTTGGTCAGAGAAAAAGAAACATCAACATCATCTCGAAGACCAGCTACTCTTGAACCTCGAGGTCACACACACGCAAACACACACAAACTCACACACATTCTTGCTGCTCACCTGAGAACCAGCTCAGGGTTACGCTGTGAAAAACCAAAACACAAACACCCAGTCCAGTGTAATTTGTCTCTCCGGCACATGTTATCCGTCTCTGCGGGTCTATTCTGGTCTTCTGGTCCATGTTTATGTCCCAGCCTGTCTGCAGCCTGTTACGTTACACAGTCAGACCTCGACACATGCACTGTCCTGGCAACATGGTCCTCAAGCAGAGTCAACGCACCAGCTGCAGCTCACTCGGGCCTCGGCCAATCATGAGAATTAGTCTAATTTCCCTCTCAGCCATGTTTGCCTTCATTGATTAGTAAAGAGGACATAAATGACTGGATAAAAAGATGCTGTGCCAAATGTCAGGACACGGCGCTTCGAGGCTGATTTGAAAACAAAATTGAGAGTTCTGATTACATAAAGTGATTGTACAAGTGGAATTAAATCTACATGTAGTAGGCTGAATAATTTCAGAATAAGCACATCGTTGTGTTTGTTTGATTGTGAAGGAGCCAATCTGGTGAAAAAAGAAAAGGTACCTGCTTATTTTGCCCGTAAAAGCTCCATAACAGCTGAAGATGCAGCAGCGACGGTCTCTGGGGAAGCAGCCTGAGAGTCTCTCTGTGGAAGAAGCTTCAAAGATCTGTAAACAATATTTTGCAGTTTGACTTAATGTGCCATTTTGTAAACAAACATTTGTGTCTGGGGGGGAGAGAAGAAATCAGAGGAAATAAACATCCGGGCTGACCCAAATTGCAGCGTCTAATTGTTCATAAAATAGTTACAACTCCGACAGTGTGTCATCGCTCATTTCCCTGTGATGGCACGCCACACAAGACCTGCCACGTGCGTGTAACATGCCTGACACATCATGAGTGAGTGTGAAGAAGGCTACTGTACAGCGGCAGAGAGGTTATGTGCGTGAGTGTTGAACATCTTCGGCGTTTGGCTTCTTGGGGTTCTGTTTGAATGCGTCACCGGCTCAATATGGATGAAAATGTGTGGGTATACAACGGGGCTAAATCTGCCACATGGCTGTTTGGGAATATTCCTCCAGCACGTGAAGCGTTTTGTTTTTACAACACGTGAGTGCTCATTCTGTTTTTTTTTTTTAAATAAAGGAAACTATAATTCATATTTCCCAGTGGCCTTGTTTGTTTTTATAGGTAATAAAGAGGAGTCAGCATCTGTTTTGGTTTTAACAGTGGAAAAACTC